GCTCCTCCTCGGACTTTGTCGAGTCGCCCGAGGGGGAGTCTTCGCCGGAGGTCTCCGACTCCGATGGGGGAAACACGTCGAGTGGCGCCGACGATCGGCGCGGAGCTGGCGAGGCGTCTCCGTCCCTCACTGTGACGTCGGGTGCCTCCGGAGAGCTCGACACCACTGGGGTGCTTGCTGCTGGTCCGAGCTCGCCTGCTTCCTCCCCGGCATCGGTCGGGTCACGCCGGTCCTTGGGCATTGCCGCGGCGTCGCCGCCGTCACGGGCGGCTACCACTGACTTGGCTACCGCTGACTCGGAGGCTAGCGGAGATGATGTGCAGCAACGGAGGGATCGAGCTCGCGCTGACATAAACCTCCTGGCACACAGCGCGCAGCGAGAAGCTTCAGCTGGAGATAGCAGTCGAGCATCTGAGCATAGCGGTGCGGGAAGGCCTTGAGGGGGTAGTAGCTCGAGACTCGCATCGGAGAGTGGCTCAGGTCTCGCTCAGGAAAATGAGCGAAGATGGTAGACTGCAAGACCCTATCCTGCGACTTGAGCGAGTGTGTCCTGCGGCTGTGCAAGGTGAGGATATCACGCTGCTGATCGGTCAGCGCAGCGCGAGCATGCACATGGCGAGGGAAGACGCGCATGACAAGAGGGGTCACATTTCGCTGCGCAGGGGGAGGAATGAAGTGCTCATGAGACGAGTCGACGAGAGCGCGCAAACCAGGGATGTGTACCACAGATGCCGGGGGGCGTCCTGCGTCATCAGGCACAGCAGCCGGGGCAGGTGGGATCGCCGCGCCATCTGCAGCCGGTGCAGGTAATGGATTCGCAGGAGCCCTCACACGACGGTAGAGGATCGCTCCAGCATTATGAACGAAGTCGTGCGCCTCAACGAAGAAGGTCGCCAGAGGATGCTTCTGGGCACGGAGAGATCTCGAGCAGTGAACGTCCAGGCTATGAGGAGAGGGCAACATCCGGGACATCGGCTGGTCAGAGTACCAAGCGAGGAAGCGAGCGATAGCCGTATAGTAAACAGCGGGGTGTAGACCCTCAGAGGGCGTGAACTCGTCCCCTCCCCGACTATGCGGAAGCTCCCGCTTGAACCTCGCAAACTCTAGCAGGTCGGGATGCGCGGCGAGGTACTGCGAGGAGGGCCAGCGGTGGTATTTCTCAAGCGCCAGGTGGACAGAGAGGTCAAAGCGACGAATCTGTGATTGGACCCGCGGGAGAAACGGAGAAGACCCCTGGAGGAAGAAGCGCAGCTTCTGGAGATGGCTCGCCCTCACCAGCGTCTTGAACATGAAGCCATGCTGGACGAGCCCGAGCTTCGAGAGCTCTTCGTTGAGGGTGGAGACCTTCGCTCGGAGCTGACTAGCATGAAATCCATCCGTGCCGATAGGCAGGCCGCCAAGTGTTATCCCGCCAGTGACGACCTCGAAGTGAAGAAGTTGAGTCTGCAGGTAATGGATTTACTGGCAGAAGGTAAAAAGTGCCTCAAGCAAAACAAAGCAGGAACAAGCTGAAGTCTTGAGACGGCGCTTAAGGCTCTTCTTCAGCTGCGAGAGATCAGGGTGTTGATGCCAGGAGGGGATGTAAACTTTCGACTCGCGAGGTTGAATCTCTAGCTTCAGATCAGCCACCATGTACTTCTTCATAGCGGACGTAGCTGCAACGGCATCCTCGAGTGGACCGACAAGCACGACGTTGTCAGCATAGGCCAAGACTCGAACAGAGGGAAAAAGCTCTGCGATGTGGAGGAGCAGGGGGTGGATACTGTGGCAGAAAAATACGCTGGAGGGGACATCGCCCTGACAGACGCCCGAGGTACACTGAACGGAGGCTGACTGACTTTTGTGAAAGAGTCGAAGGTCAGCAGCGTCTCCATAGTAGCTGGAGAGGTAGGAGGCGAACAAACGGAGATGCTCGCAAGAGGGCAAGCTTGCGCCTTCAGTGATGCTCCCATCAAAGTAGTCGCGACTCGCACGTCCCTCGATTGCGTCAAAGAGAGCCTGGCGGTCGAGGGAGTTGAAGGCGTTCTTTGCATCCAAGCTCACCAGCACTGTGGGGTTGGCAACATCCTCATCATCACCGCGAGCGTGAAGGGGCAGGAGCGCTGACACGGTTTGCGAGAACTTCAGACAGCCGTCTCGATCGAGTCCGAACTGAATCGCTCGAGGGTGAGACGAGAGGAAGTGCTGGTCAAGAAATGAGCGAATCGCTGCCAAAGCAAGCTTCGTCGCGAGTCGACGGTGTGCAGAACCGATGACAATTGGCCGGAGACCAGGTTTATCAGCTCCCTTGGAGAGGGGAATAAATCTGCCTCCTCGACGAATGGCTGACAGGGCAGGAATAAGAAGATCCGGCATTTGGCCAAGAAGGACCCCTTGGAGGATATGTTTGCAGTAGAGCTTCAAAGCTGCAGGATGACTAGAAAGGGGTGACAGGTGTTGCCGAATCCTCCACCCTTGGTCATCGGTCCCCGCAAAGGAGCTGTAGCGCTTGATCGCCTGGATCAGGCTAGTGGTGTCGAGGATGTCAGTCAAATCCACCTGCAGTACTGCAAGCGCTTGCTGGGTGAGATGAGCCGCGGAAGCACTTCCAAAGGCAGGCGACGCACCATCAGGGAACTTCTCTTGTGCTTCAGCAAGAAGATCAGCAAAAGATTCAGCCCTGTAGATGCCGGAGCTCAGTAGTGTCCGTACCGCCCGATGAAGGTCACCCGCAGTGAACTGATGAATCGCCAACTGTCTTTGGCGCTCGCTCGCAGAGGTGAGGGACAGCGTAGGTCGCGGCGGAGGAGCAGGCTCAGACTCCTGAGACGATTGGCCGGACTGCCGCTGCTCCCTCGGCCCGCGCGGTTGTGGTCGCTGCTGTGGTGGTTGCTGGTGTTGCTGCTGCTGCTGCTGCTGACGCGGACGCTGCTGCTGACGCTGGCGTTGCTGCTGCTGCTGCTGCTGCTGTTGCTGCTGCTGCTGCTGCTGCTGCTGACGCGGGTGCTGCGGCTGCGGCTGCTGCGGCTGCGGTTGCTGCTGGTGGCTCTGCCGTTGCCGCCGCCCTCGCGAGGGCTGCTGGGGCGGTTGCAGCTGCTCCGACTCCTGCAGCTGCTGCTGTGGGAGGGACGAGGGCTGCCGAGGTGACCGCCGGCTGCAGGTGCCGAGGTGACCGCCGAAGTTGCTGCTGCTGCTGCTGCTGCTGCTGCTGCTGCTGCTGCTGCTGCTGCTGCTGCTGCTGCTGCTGCTGCTGCTGCTGCTGCTGCTGCTGTCCTTGGGGCGGTGAAGGCTGCCGCGCCCCCTTTGCTTGCTTCTTCCCATGGGTTTCTGCAGCAGGCAGATAGCGCTTGAAAAGAGCTTTCCATTCACCCTTCAAGAAACGTCGGCACTGGCGCTTGATAAGCGCGTCCTTGGTAGGACCATTGGCAGAGTTGGGTACGGGAAGCAGTAAGGTGGGAAGGTGCTCAAAGAGCAGAACAAGGGTCTGATAGCTGGACGAGGAAGGATCATATCGATCGATGAATTGCAGCAAAGACACAAGACAAGTCAGCCAAAGCTCTGCAGTCTCACCAAAGAGGTGAGACGCAGTGACATGAGGACGAAAGCGCTCATGAATATAGAGGAAGACTCGGAGGTTGGATCAATGGATTTACTGGCAGAAGGTAAAAAGTGCCTCAAGCAAAACAATGCTCGCGCTGCGCTGACCGATCAGCAGCGTGATATCCTCACCTTGCACAGCCGCAGGACACACTGCCTTCCCGCACCGCTATGCTCAGATGCTCGACTGCTATCTCCATGGCATGCCGATCTGCCAGTGTCCGACGGAATGTGATGGATGTCAGCGCGAGCTCGATCCCTCCGTTGCTGCACATCATCTCCAGACCTGCAAACGCCGATCCTCCAAGCTTCCCACGGCGCATGACAACCTTACTCGTACGATTCGGTCGATGCTGAACGAAGCTGGTCTTCAGAGCGTCATCGATACAGTGGGGGATCCTCGTTCTCGACGGCAGGTACCCTCCCATCCTCATGGCCGCAAGATGAAGGGCGATATCCACATCCCTGGAATCCGCGATCGAGGGTCCGAGCAGTACGAGGGCTTGATGGCGGACGTGACGTTGGTCCACCCTTACATTGGTAGTTCTGCCGACCTGACCAAGTGGGGGGAGGTCAACCTCGACGCCCTCCATGTTGCAGCGTCTGAGAAGATTCGCAAACATCGCGCTGCATATGCTATGACTACTCCTCCTCGAGCGTTCATCCCTCTTGCCATCTCGACGGACGGTACCCTGCATCCTGACACCCTCCGCTTCATCTGGTATCTCGCGGACATCATTGCTCAGCGCTCGATGCCTCTTGAGGATGCGGCGTTTGGTCGGCACTTCGTGCCTGATGACGGCCCTGCTGCTGAGGTCTTGGCTCGCAAACGCGCCGCCACCTATCAGCGCCTCACTATGCAGCTGACGCTGGAAGCGCTCTTGTCTGGTGCGAGGCGCATGACGCCCTTGCGGGCGCAAGCACTTCTCGTTGTTGCTGCTTTCTTCTGCTTGAGGCACTTTTTACCTTGTGCGAGTAAAACTCAGTCTACTCTGCTTGTCTACGTGGCTGCCCGCGTGGGCTGGCAGTGCAGGTACAGATGCAGGGATATATATGGCAGGGTCTGGTTGCCAGCAGTGCTGGTGGATCTGAGTTTTACTCGCAGAAGGTAAAAAGTGCCTCAAGCAGAAGAAAGCAGCACTTTTTACCTTCTGCGCGAGGGAGTCATGCGCCGCGATCCAGACAGGAGCGCCTCCAGCGTCAGCTGCATGGTGAGGCGCTGATAGGTGGCGGCGCGTTTGCGAGCCAAGACCTCAGCAGCAGGTCCATCATCAGGCACGAAGTGCCGACCAAATGCCACATCCTCAATCAAGAGGCAACGAGCATGCTACTTACTTTATACACAACTCAGAGCTCCTCACGTGATGGCATGGAACACGTTTTGCAGGAGGTTCTTGGTGTCGTAGTGGAGCTGGTGGGAGAACTGTTGCTCTACTGCTGTTCGCCTCCCTCGCTGCTGCTCGTCCGACGTCCCTTCGTCTTGTACCTCCACATGCAGCAGCTGCAGCAAGTCAGCGACATCCCCGTCCTTTCCTCTTCCTCTCACCTGCAAGCACTGACGCAACTCCTGCTCGAAAAATCTGCCGGACTCAGCGAGGCGCTTGAAGAGGGAGCAGCACACGCCTGTCTCCTGCCGGAACTTGGAGGAGCAAACGTTGAGCATCTTGATATTGGGGAGGTCGTCAGAGAGGACCGTGTGAACCTGCATGACGATCTCGATCCACGAGGTGAGGGACTGCAAGATCCGCTCGGCCAGCAGCTTCAGGTCCTCGATCACGTTTTCTTTCCCTAGGTTCTTCACGATGGTTGCTGGGTTGGTATTGAAGACATCTCCAGCTCCTCCTGTTCCTCCTGCTCCGCCGTTTTCGCTGCTCTGAGAGAACTTCTCTAGTCGATCTAGAAGGTCTTGTAGGAACTCGAAGATTGCCGTCAGGTCCTCCAGCATCTGCTCCGTTGCCGTCTTGAGGATGTTGAGCTGATGAGGGATCAGCTTCCCGCATCGCCCCTTCACCCACATGTACGCCTCCCACTCGCTGCTGCTCTCGACCGTGTCCTTCACCTTCACCGCCCTCTCTTGCTTCAACCCCTTCATCATCGTCCTCTCGTGGTCCACGCTTGACTGCAGCACGAAGTCGCTTGTGTTTCGATGCGCCCCGCTGTCTTCTAGGATCGCGATCGCCACGCGCTTGCCGTGCCGGTACGCGTCATCCAACGGAGTTCCACCGAAGCTGTCGAGGGCGTCGAGGTTCATGGGGGGATCGAGGAGGCGCACGAGGTGGTCCAGTACCGTCACCTCCCCGTTGGAGGCTGCCAGGTGCAGGGCCGTCCGGTTGTTCGCGTCTGCGCTCTCCGGGTTGGCCCCGTTCACTATCAGCGCTTTCAGCTTCGCCACGTCGCCCTCAGCTGCGGCCGAGCAGAGCTCAGTCGCGATGTCGATACCCTTCAGCTGACCCCCGGACATTCGCAGGATCTCCTGGATCCTCTCGTGCTTGTGCCGCAGAGCGTCGCTCAGAGGCGTTCCTCCCGTCCGGTCCCGAAAGTTCGCGTCCGCTTTCTTCTCCAGCAGGTACTCCACCACGTCCACGTGACCCTCGCTGGCGGCCAGGTGGAGGGCCGTGCGCTGGTCGTAGTTGGACTCGTTGACTTCGATGCCGTTGACGATGAGTCGCTTCAGCTGCTCCTTGTTCCCCTCCGCCGCGAACTTGCACATGATGAAGCCGGGCTTCTTCCCAGGATACGTCAGCACCTGTTGCTGGTCCCGCAGGATGCCGGCGATCTCGTCATGGCAGTGCCGGACGGCGTCGTTGAGAGGCGTGTTGTGGTAGTTGTCTCTGATCGATGGGCTCGCTCCGTGCCCCAGCAGCAGCTTCACTGCCTCCACCTGCCCCTCGCATGCTGCGATGTGCAGCGCCGTACGGCCGTTGGCGTCTGTCTCGTCCACGTGGATGCCGATCCTCAGGAATCTCTTCATGTTCTCCAGCTCTCCTCGCGCACTTGCACCGCAGAAGGCGGCGATGTGCTCGGCCTTGCGCCGCTGGTTGAGAAACGCGACCTTCTGCTCGATGTTGGAGAGGATAACCGCATCGAAGCTGTCCTCCTGCAGCATCGACTGCTCGTAGTCTGTCGGGAGACTCTGCTCCTCGAACTCGTCGCCGGAAGAGACGCTTCGCTCTTCCTCCTTCAGCCGTTGGATGGTGGAGGACGCGATGCTCTTGCCCTGTCGCCCCGAGTTGTTCACGTTCCGCTCGTCCTTGGTCAGCTTGAACTGTCTCAACGCGTTCTGTGCGACGATCTCCTCGTCATCCGGATAAGCCTCTAGCACCGGCATGATCTGCGTCCGCACCAGTCGCAGGCACATGGCGCCCGAGCGGCTGCTGGCGCGAGCAGAGTTGATGTGGCGGACACCGAAGAAGAAGGAGAGGTCCCCGACGCTCCCTCCAGGCCCCACCGTCTTGTCGTGGATAGAAACGCCGTCGCTATCCTGCACGAGCTGATCGACGAAGCCAACGACGACGAAGTACATCTCATGCGCTACCATGTTCGACTGAAAGAGAAATTCCTCCGACCCGAAGTGAATCTCTCGCAGCAGCCCCTGGATGTTGGACTTAAGCTGGGCACTGCAGCCCTCGAAGAGCACGACGTTGTCGAGGCACTCGCGCGTCATGTTGGAGGAGATCTCGATGCGGAGGGAGTGCGAGACCGAGTCGAAGATGTCCGACGCCTGGTAGAAGGTCGAGCCGACGGAAGATCCCTGGAAGTACCTCCTGATCTCCAGCTTGAGGTCCGAAGGGATGTTGAAGCTCTGCAGGTAGCTCTCCACCGCTCCGATCTCCTCCCTCACCTTCACCAGCTTTTCGTCTCCCTTGAGGACGCCGGCTGAGATCTCCCCGATGATGTAGTTGAAGAGCGTAAGGTTGAGGCAGAGCAGGAAGATGGTGTAGGCGATCTCTCCGTAGTTCTTAGGCCACATGTCCCCGATCACCCCCGTGGAGGAGACGGTGCTTGACACCCAGTAGAGCGACAGCAGGTACTTGTTCCACGTCCCCGAGTACTCGGAGCCTGGCATGCCGTACCCCACGTAGGACGTCAGCAAATGTCGTCGCTGCTCATACGCCTCCAGCGACGGCTCGTACCTGCCAATCACGATAACCTGTTAAAACCCCTCCTCTCTCTCTCTCTCTCTCTCTCCTCCTCTCTCTCTCTCTCTCTCTCTCTCCTCCTCTCTCTCTCTCTCTCTCTCTCTCCTCCTCTCTCTCCGTCTCTCTCACCATGTGGCTTCGCTCAGCGGCTCTCCCAGCCCCCGCCGGCCCATGAGGAACCAGAAGCAGCTGGTGAGGTGCAGGATCATGCAGATGTTGATGGCGAGGCGGACGTGGCTCTTGTTCAGCAAGGGGTCCAGCAGGCAGCTCTTGTGCTCCATCTGAGCGGACAGGAGGTAGAGCATCTTGGGTACGCGGGACCACGAGCACAGCGCGATGCTCGCCCCGCTCATGTAGCCGAACCAGTCCAGCGGCAGCGCCGCCAGCGCGTCGATCCAGAAACCACGCGAGAGGTAGTGACGAGCAATGCGCAGGCGATCTGTGACCCACCTTGACCTGCGCCGCAATCAAGAAGAGAGGATGACGAGTAAGAGGAGAGTGAGGAAGAGGAAGGGAGTGTGAGAAGGAGGAAGAGGAGCGAGGAACGAGAGGAAGTGCTCACTGTTTGTTCATGTAGGCCACGTTGAATCCGACAAACAAGTTGAGTATGACGAGCAAGTCGACGAGGAAGGAGGAGGCGAAGAGGGAGGTGTCGAGCATGCTCTGGTAGGGCAGAAACGCGATGCGAGCAGGCACGTGGAAGAAGTAGAAAAAGGCTCCGAGATGCTGACCCGTGCGCCAGAAGCGAAGGGCGAAGGAGTTGGGGTTGAGGACGAGGGTGGAGTTGCCCATCATGAGCTCGCTCTGGTAGGACGCGTTGACCTCGCGGATCTTCTTCTCGATCTCAAAGAAGGAGACGGCATGCGCCTTCTTTCCCTCCGGTGCGAACACCTGCCAGAGCTCAGATCTAGCTGGACTCCTGTTGGGCCTCACCTGCATGAACTCCTCGACATGCATGTCGTTGATCTCCCCGCTGTAGTCGAGGAGCAGCAGCGCAAGAAACTCCTTCACCTGCTCCTGCCGTCAGGCCGCGTAACCGCCGCGCGTCGCGTCACCTTGCTGCGGAGGAGAGGCTTGGAAGTGTCGCCGACGACAGCATGGAAGGTCGACTCGTAGGCAGAAACGATCTCCTCGGAGAGCAGCAGGCCCTTGATGGAGCTGTAAAACAAGTGCTTGATGAAGCTCCTCAGCTGCTCCGAGTAGGAGGGGGAAGAAAACTCGTCATGGGAGAACTCACTCCCCTGATCGTCATCCTGCGCTTGGTCAAGCAGAGGCACGTCCTCTCGGATGCGGAAGGAGCCGCCTGACATGTTCTTCCAGGAGCCTGCCTTGCCGACAGTCGAGTTGATGTCGTTGATGTACAGCACCCATCGGCTGTACCAGTCGCTCTTGTCCATCAGCTTCGGGCATAGCTGGGGATCAAACGCACTAGCGAAGAAGCTCTGACCCACCTGTGCAGCATCAGGCAACCAATAGGTAGGAAGGCAGGTAGGCAGGTAGGTGGTTAGGTGGGTAGGAGAGGAAGGCAGGTAGGTGGGTAGGTAGGCAGGAGAGGAAGGCAGACCTCGCCAAGGAATTCTTGTATGGGTGAGACTTCGTTGAAGTGAACGACACTCATGCCGGCACTGAAGATTTCCCAGGACTTCTCGATTGTTTTGATTCCCAGCTCGATTGCTTTCTTCGGGTTTGTCTCCGACGTGAAGTTGTGGATCCGCTTGCTCGACATCTTCGCCAGCCCTCGCCAGATGGCGAAGGCGAGCGACAGACGTTTGGTGTTGTCTGCCATGCCCACCTCGAAGTGCTTGTGGATGGTCTCCATGTACGCTCGCACCCTCAGCTCGGTCTCGGACTGATGGACGTCCTTGGACGCCACCAGCGAGACGTGATCGAACTCCTCCTTGGCGATCGTCTCCGTCAGGATCTCCTTCTCGTACTGGTCGAACTCAGAGTCCTTGGTCAGTGCGTGCGCAAACGCGATCACCAGCTGCGTCTTCACCTGCACGACGTGTCACCTCCTCCGCCCCCCCACCTTCCCTCTCCTCCTCCTCCTCCTCCTCCTCCTCCTCCCTGCCAAGCATCTCTGCACCTGAAGGATGGCAGCAATGTCTGACTTGTGAACCTGAATCAGCTCCGTTCTTTGAACCGCTCGGACCATGAGGATTGGAGCGAAGCCGGTGAGGAGCCAGACCTCCCCGAAGAGCGTGTCAGAGCCGTACTCGAGCTTCAGGCAGATGTCGGATGCGTCATTGTGCAGCATGACGCGCAGCCGGCCCTTGTTGACGAGGAACATGCAGGGCTCCTTGAAGGTGAGCTTCTGACCCTCCTTGAGAATCACCCGCTTGCTCCTCCAGGCGATGTACTGCAGGTGAGAGAAGGACAAGACGCGCAGCACGTTGGACTTGAAGAGCGAGGAGAGCTTCAGTGAGTCCTCGTCCGCCTCCTGGCACATGATGTCTCGGAACATTTGACTCTGACACAGCAGCGACGTCGGCGAGATGAAGCGATCACTCTGGTTCGTGTCCTGGTCGGCATCGATGCTGCTGAAGAATAGCTCTCGCCGCCTCGACGTGTTGAGGTCGATCTGCAGCGCCTCCAGCACCTTGGAGAACTGATCGAAGTCAGCCCACAGGTAGGAGGCTAAGCTGTTCCCGTCCGCCGGCCCCAAGGCAGCTTGGAAGGCGTCAACGAGGGCGAACCACATCTCCTCGACGCGGTTCAGGTTCATGAGGCAGCGGTTGAACTCCTTGGCGAGGAAGATCTTGCCGCTCAGCGTGTCTCTCCCTCTCTTCTCTATCGTCGACGTGATTGTGTCCAGCTCCTCGTACAGCGCCAGCAGCTCGTGGTCTACCACGGTCTGGATGTACTCGTTGATGTCGATATCGTTCTCCAGCTTCTCGAAGAAGGCTCGAGCTGTCGGCAGCGCTCCCTCCTGCTTCATCTCGATCACTGCCGTCACTTCCTGCTTGATGGTCCCAAGCTTGAAGTCGTTGATCCGATCCGAGAAGGTGGCGCAGGTCAGGATGCAGTCCTTCACCTTGTCAAAGACCTGCGCTTGCACCTCTCGCTTGCCGCTCAACAAGTCTGCTGCGTGATTGAACAACCCCATCATGTCCCTTGACATATCCACCAGCGCATCGCACGATTCTCTCGCTATCCAGAAGGCTTCGATGGAGGGGCGATGAGGTTTAGTGCGGTCAAGGCCCTGCTTGATCAGATGCTTGATGACTTTCCTCACTGACTCCATCTGCAGCTCCTCCAGGTCCTCCCAGAATTGCTTGTAGTTGTCCGAGTTCATCAGCTCCTTCGCCTTCCCTGACTTTCCTCCGGCTGCCTGCAGCAGCTTTGCGCACATGACATGTCTCGACGTGTTTCCGAACATGCAGTCGTCGAAGGGAGTGTTTCCCCACCTGTCCTTGAGGTTCGGGTTCGCGCTCACCCCTAGCAGGTAGTTGATCGCCAGCAGCCTTCCGTTGGCCCCAGCGAAGTGCAAGGGGCATCGCTTGTCGTAGTTCCCCACGTCTGCATCTCCGTCAGCCTCTCCCTTCCTCCTCCTCCTCTCCTCACCCGGGTCCACCCCGCAGCGATGCAGGAGGCTCAGATGACGCACGTCTCCCTCCGCTGCTGCTCGGCACATGTCGATGGTCCCCGTCCCTCCCGACAGGATTCCTCCTCGCGTGTAGATCTGCTCTGCTACCTGCACATGTCCCGCGCTGACCGCGTCCTGCAGAGGAGACTTGCCCCACCTGGTCCGCGTCAGAGGGAGCGAGGAGGAGCATAGGCTCACCTGTCGCAGGCGTTGAGATCTGCTCCCTTGCTCAGCAGGTACTCCGCCACCTTGTTGTGTCCCTCGGCCGCTGCGAGGTGGAGGGGGGAGCGATGATCGAAGTCAACCACGTTGGGGCTCACCCCGTGCTCGAGGAAGAACTTGAGCGTCTCCAGATCTCCCGCAGCAGCTGCCGCGCACAACTTGCCCGAGGGGTCAAGAGTTCTCAGCTCGCAGTTCCACTGGGCGAGCAGCTGGATGACTGGGCCCTGGGTGTTATTGATCGCATCCTGTAGCGGCGTGTTGCCCCACCTGTCCTTCTGATTCTTTTCAGCTCCTTCCTCCAGCAGAAGCTCAACTACTCGATAGTTTCCCTCGGAGGCTGCCATGTGCATGATCGTCTTGCCGTCGTAGTTGCACGAGTTGATGTCTACGCCCTTCCTCAGCATCCTCCTCACCTCCTCAAGGTCTCCTGCCGTCGCCGCATAGGTCATGGCCAGGAACGCTTCTTCTCGTCGGCGTTTGACCGTCTCCTTGATAAGCTTGCGGAGAATCTCAGCGTCGGGGTCTTCTTCCTCCTCTTCGTTGTTGACCGCCTCGAGATTTGCGATCTCATTGCCGTTCTTGTCAAGGTTAAAGCTTGCCAGGATGTTGTTGGTGATCACTTCGTGCTGCTCGGGGTAGTTCTTGAACAGCTCGTCCGCTGCCTCCTTGCTCAGCACCAGGAGCTCGATGTCTGTATCGAAAGGAGCGCGCACGGAGTACTGCTGCTGCACTCCCATGAAGAAGGAAATCTCCCCGATCACCGACGGGTCGTCCACGTCCGACCGGATGCTTCGCTTCACCGTGTCTTCGTCCACCACCTCCGCATGCCCATGGATGACGAAGCTGAGCTCAAGCACCATCTCCGATGCACGGATGAAGGTGTCTCCGGGCATGAGGAACACCGGTCGAAGCAACGTCACGAGGTTGTTCAGAAACTGAGCGTTGCACTTGAAGAAGATTCCGCCTGGCTTGCAGCATTTCTCCACCATAGGTCGGTATCGGGTGTTGGCGACTTTCATCTCCAGCGATCGGGGGAGTTTGAGAGAGGCGGAGGCTTTCTTCTGAACGCTCTTCTTGTACTGGAACTCGAAGTGCTGTATGAGCTTCCGCTTCACCTGCGGAGGAAGTTTCCTCGCCTCGGCAAACAAGAGGACATCCGCCATGCGCTTCCGATGCGCCTCAGTGAGAGGATCTTTCTGCGACACCAGGAGGTAGTGGAAGAGAGTGCCAAGGATGTAGGCAGAAAGGAAGATCGAGTTGAACATGACGAGGACGCTCAGGACCATCTCCAACGCGTTCTGAGGGATGATGGGAAGATAACCCATGGACGAGAGTCCATCGAAGCCCTTGTACAAGAGGATCAGATACCTCGCAGCCGTAGAGCTGTGCACGTCATCGAAGGCAGGAAAATATGTGTTGATGTCAACGATCCAGGTATGCTCGTAAGCATAGCCCGTCCTGGGAACCCAGAAGAAGAGACAACCAATCCAATGGCTGGACATGAAGATGACCAAGCAAAACTTCATCAGCTGAATCCTGCTGATAGAGATGGACAAATTCATCTCCATCATACCAAAGAACTTGTACAGACGCCAGGCTCGAGGTATCAGCCGCACAAACATGACGAACCACCACACCCACAAAGAAGTTGAGGGCACCGACACCCCCAAGAAGACAATGCCGGGCAACAACTGAGTCCAAAACGCAGCAAAGAAGTAATGTAGAGCAATATCCCTGCGGTCGGTGTCGATGCTTTGCTCCCCAGTGCTAGACTGCTTCTCCGACTTGTTCAGTATCAACCCAGTGTTGAACTGGACAAGGCCGTCCAAGACAAACAACATGTCTGATGACAAATCCGCGTAGAACAACCAGGTGGTTTGACTCGGAGATGCCAGGGCCAGTCGAAACCCTCCAGCCCACAGCTCGTACGTCAAAGGAAGAGCGAAGAAGTCGTGCCAGCGTTGAACAATGAGAGAGGAGGGGTGCCAGACCTCGAAGCTGAAGTCATTCAACCGACTCTTTGGGATGTAAAACCGAACTCTCTGAATTTTGTAACCAGCATTTGATGAGTTTTCTGGTCTGAGGCAAGGCTTCAAATCGCCTTTGTTCTTCTTCTTGGAAACTTTCAGCCATGCAGACGAAAGCGTTGACGGAGCTCGATCAATCATGGTACCAACGCTGCTGCTTCGGACAGGCGGCGGTTGTCGGACAAGCTTGTGCCCAGACGAGTCTTTGCTACTGACGCTATCGCCATTGTGGTAAGGAGCGATAGAGGCACGCTTCTTCCACAGCCGCATGATGAATCAGTCCAACCCAGTTAGATACCAAGGCCCCCTTCAGTTTTCCTCGACATGTTTGCTGCCGTCAAGCTACGCCATGTCCACCTCGAACCTCTCCACACTAGTTGACGGACCTTCACGTCCCCTGGCCTGCAGTAGCAGCAGCGGAGTGAGCACATGAAAACATGCAACCGTTTAATTCACAAACATTTTCCCTGACAGCGTGCTCTTCCATCCTCTGCCTGCAACGATCGTTTCCTCTACACCCCTAACCTCTCCCTCCATCTCTTGGGTTATGCGCTGTGATAATTCGTTAAGTGATCGAATTCGAGGATGGTGATGGTGAGCAACCAATCATCATGTTAGATTCTCCTGCTTCCTCATCTGTCTCAGTCTTACACACTGTCATCCATTACAACAATCATCACTCATCATCTACATCTATCCTCATCACTCATCATCTACATCTATCCTCATCACTCATCATCTACATCTATCCTCATCACTCATCATCTACATCTATCCTCACCACTGATCATCTACATCTATCCTCATCACTCATCATCTACATCTATCCTCATCACTCATCATCTACATCTATCCTCATCACTCATCATCTACATCTATCCTCACCACTCATCATCTACATCTATCCTCACCACTGATCATCTACATCTATCCTCATCACTGATCATCTACATCTATCCTCATCACTCATCATCTACATCTATCCTCATCACTCATCATCTACATCTATCCTCATCACTCATCATCTACATCTATCCTCATCACTCATCATCTACATCTATCCTCACCACTCATCATCTACATACTATCCCTCATCACTCATCATCTACATCTATCCTCATCACTCATCATCTACATCTATCCTCATCACTCATCATCTACATCTATCCTCATCACTCATCATCTACATCTATCCTCATCACTCATCATCTACATCTATCCTCATCACTCATCATCTACATCTATCCTCATCACTGATCATCTACATCTATCCTCATCCTGTTGTGTTGTTTGCATTGTTTGTATCAGGAATCAAAAACGCATCTCAAGGGACCGACACACCCCCTACCCCCCTCCCCCTCACGCTCCATACCACCCCCTATGTCATCCCCTTTCCCGTCATTCACCCCTACCTAACACCAATATGACCCCCACCCCCTCCTATTCCACCTTTTTTTTTCCACCATCAAATATCTTTCACCACCTTCATTCTCCGTTCTCTCAAAACTACCCCACCCCCCCCAGTACCACTTTACCTCCTTGGACCACCTACCACCCCCCCCTCGCTCCCCCCCCTCCTACTCTAGTCCACTCGGGAATAGCGAGGGGTGGTTACCACACGGGGGTGGAACTACTCCAATCTCATCCGCGGGCCAACCACTGCCTCTAGCCATACCTGGTACTAATTTTCACTTAAATACCCCTCTCATCCACCGCGATGCACATCGTGGGCGGTGGTCATGCAGGGGGTATAAGGCAACGATGCAAGATCTATGACGCGCCATGGGGAAAATTCAAATCCAAATTTTGTCGGGCAATCCGCTCTGCATCCTTACCATGAGCAAGACGACAGCAGACAGGGAGGAATGCCCTATTTGTAAGACGAGATACAGTACGAACAGTGTTCGGACGATGTGTTCACGTTGTCAACGGGCTTTCAAAGACATCAACTTGAAAACTGCACAGGATTATGCAGTGTTCACTGACGCATTGGTGCTGAAATTGTTACATTTCCTGCCAAACATCGGCACGCAACGTCAAAATAAGCGACGCGGATGATAGCTTGCTACAAGTAGCGGCTAGTTATCTCAAGCTGAGCCAGCATACCATCAACATTTCTCATGTACGAGCAAAGTTGACGCTTCTAGGTAACCTCTTTGGACAGAATGCAGCGGGCTTCAAGAATTGCTTCCTTTATGTCTACTTCACCTCGTTTCAACAAGGAGCAGTTGCCAAAATGCATCATGATGAATTCCAGCTGCACATAGACGCGCAAAAGCTTCGAAGTCAAGTAAAGAATCAAAGTCATCTTGTAAGAAAATCAGACATTGGGCAACTTCGCACTATGCCACTGTTGATGAGCTACAAAAGCAAATACACGCTGTTATCTGGCAAGGTAACCAGCGAGCTGGAATGCACCAGAGTACCGACATGCCACCATGCAGGTATGTAAGGCCTGAACATATTAGCCAAGACCAGAACAGCAATATCAAAACAGCATTCCCTCTCCTCGCACATACATTTGAAGAGCATGAGTCTCTTGAAGAATCCAATGACAAAAGTCCTACTGCCAAGTGCTTTCTCACCATTTACAATGTTGAATTTGCTAGCTACCCGACATAGTTTCAGATGTCAGTCGTCATGTTCCAGTCAGGAAGGAGCTGGCATGACAAGCTAACACCCCATCATTGTTGTATTCTGGACTCATACCGGACGCCCCTTGGGCGTAGCGTCAGTAGAGATATAAGATGACGATGCCAGATCGCTGCAGTGGTGCTGCTGATCTGATGAGTGTGTGTGCTTGATAAACAGTGATCCTAAGATCATCTGAGCTCAAGGTCTTACGCAAGGTTGTGTAACAATCGTGACAATCATGCCATTCATAGCACTGGCGGAACTTTTGATACGGACAAGATGTTGTTACCATGGGATCCTTCCGAGGCTTATCTTGCCCACTGCTGAGTCCCCCAACCTTTACTCATGATACCTTCAGGCTGACCTTCAGCTGGGCCAGCAGCTGGACCTTCGAAGTCACAAGTTCTACCGTCAGTTCCTGAGATCCGACTGGGATCCGAGGGATCAGTTGAATATGAGCGGGGAGGAGGGCCATGCGATCTGAGGTGGAATGAGCGATGGCGGTTGGAGTGTGTGGGAGATGATGAGAAGGGCGGGCGAGAGGATCTATGCAGGTAGCGACACATCGCCAACATCATCACATGCTTATGCTGATCATCATCATGATCATCATCATCATGATCATCATCATCATCATCATCATCATCATCATCATCATCATCATCATCATCATCATCATCATCATCATCATCATCATCATCATCATCATCATCATCATCATCATCGTCATCGTCATCGTCATCGTCATCGTCATCGTCATCGTCATCGTCATCGTCATCGTCATCGTCATCGTCATCGTCATCGTCATCATCATCATCATCATCATCATCATCATCATCATCATCATCATGCTTTCCATCGCCGTTGTGCAGGAAGAGATCGACAAGCATGACAGTTGATTGCAGGACTTGAAGCTGCAGGTGAGGGAGTTGCAGAAGCTTTGGGACTCAACGACTCGCGCTATCAGTGGTACATCGACGAATACATGAAACAGAAAGAGATGGTAAGATGAGGCGTTGAAAGTTGATGGAACTTGGGCCAAGCTGAGCGAGACGAGTGATGCTGAAGTCGCTTTCAAGTCGGTGATGATAGTGCTATCAGCGTCTTAGGAGAAGCAGAACCAGTAGAAGGGGAGAAGCAGAGGAGATAATGGGGTTGGCCAAATGTTCAGGAGCATATTGACGTCATTGACCGCCATCATGTCAGTTTGTCACAATCTTTATTGACGAGTCATACAGGAGGAGGAGGAGAAGGCTTTGGAAGAAGAACAAGCTGTCGAACAAATTCAGAGCCTTGAGAGTGGGAGAATACAGGAGAGCTAAGGGTTGATAACGTCGACACTGACCGCAGGGGTCATTTCTGTTCCTTCCCTTCCCCCAACACACCTCGTAAATAACATTTCCAATCAGCCTCCTCTGCATCCACCTCTTTCTCTTTCTCTTTCTTGAGCTCTCGAATCTCGTCCACGGCTTTCACGATCCTCCTGGTCTCCTTAACAAACTCACTCTCCTCGCTCTTCTTCTCCCTTCCTTCTCCCTCCGCTCTTGACATGAACACGATGGGTTGTCGCCGTCTCTCCATCAGCAGCAGGGGAGCAGTGAAGCACATGGACGGGGCTGAGCCCATGATGATGGGCAGCATGCGCGTCCTGCAAGAGCGAGTGAAACAAGATCAACATGACAGAAGGAAATGGGGGTAGTGAAGGAGGATGGGACGGGTAGTAAAGCAGATCATCATGAGGAGGGGGAGTAAGAGAGGTTGAAGTAGAAGACGAGGGAAGGCGAACGGGAAAGGAAAAGAGCAGAGCATGGAACACTATGATACGTGATGAAACAGTAGCAGTCGCGGAAGCCTAGGAGTAGAAGCAGAGAGCTGAGAGGAGGGAGAATGGACAAAGTCGTGGAGGGAGGGAGGGAGGGAGGGAGGGAGGGAGGGAGTGAGTGAGTGAGTGAGTGAGTGAGGCAGCGAGAGCGCAGAGGAGGGAGGGAGGGAGGGAGGGAGAGGGAGAGGGAGAGGGAGAGGGAGTGTAGAGCACAGAGCACAGGAAGGTGGTGAGTAACGAGATCGGACCACAGACATGCACTGTCAATACGGCAGACATGGAGTTAGGTCCCGTCCTGCTCGCGTCGTCATGACAAAGGTTCAGTCCCGTGCTGCTCTTGCTACTTCTTGTCTGCCTCTGCTTCTACTGCTGTCCCTGGAGGAGCTGAAGTGAGAGAGCAGGAGGCGGTGCTAGCGGCATGCAAGGAGAAACAGCAGTACACGACGCCTCGGCTAAACGACAACCTCTACCTGCAATGCTGCGGTTTCACCAAGATCGAGAACCTAGAAGAGTACACAGGAACCAAGGCGAGAAGGAGGGGGGAATAGGGGGGGGGACAAACATTTATGGTGGCTGACATTCATACAGACGCTGTGGCTGGAAGAGAACAACATCTCGAAGATTGAGAACATCTCGCACATGCAGCAATTGCGATGTCTCTTCCTTCAGGTATCAGAAGAGTAGAGGAAGCGAAGATGGTAGAGGGTAAGGGGTGAGGGAAGGGCAGGGCCGCGAAGAGGAGGAGGAGGAGGAGGAGGAGGAGGAGGAGGAGGAGGAGGAGATGGAGAAATGATCTTCCCTGGCCTAGTCGAACGCTATCATGCGAATCAGCGGGCTGAAGATGTTGACTTCCCTACAAACGCTGAAGCTATCCAACAACATGTACACGTGCTTGTTTCCTCTTCTTTCCTCGTCCCCCCTCCTTCTCCTTCTTTGTGATAATCTTTCCTTGCATTGAAATGTGAGCAGGATATCACGGCTTGAAAACCTCAAGCGTTCGTCTCTCTCTCCCCTCTACTCCTCTTGACGACGCTGCAGCCTTGCGCATGCTCCACACGTTGGATGTCAGTTACAACCTGCTGCACACCGTCGAGGACATAAGGTCGCCCCCTTCCTCTCGTGAATGGCCTTGCTTTCTCTCACTCGCTATGCTTGCAGTCATCTTCTCCTCTGCGACTCAATCTCGGCTCTTCACCTCAACAGCAACCGCCTTGAAGATCCGAGGTCTTGGTTTCACTGCTCTCCGCCTCTGAAGCTCTTGGGTAGGTGTGTCGCAGTACTGGAGGGGATGCGGAAACTGCAGGTCCTCTACTTCAGCGACAACCTCGCCGTCTCTCGCATCGCTCAAGTCTGGGGAACATATCGCAAATGCATGGTGCTGTTCCCTCCCCTGCAACCCTCTCCTTCCCTCTCCTTCCCTCTCCTTCCCTCTCCCTCCCAACTGTTGCTCCTCCTCTCATCTCAGCCTCATGGTCCCTCAAGCTTTTGCAGATCGGCAGGATTCCGGCACTGACGTTCCTTGACGATCGTCCGGGTAAAACCTCCTGCTCCTCCTGCTCCTCCTGCTCCTGCTTCTTCTTTCATCTTCTCATTGGATGCCTTCAGTGCACAAGAACGAGCAGCGATACAGTGCGTCTGCCCTGTTTGGGGAGGAAGCAGAGCCACACGAGGTTTCCTTCTCTCCTGTTGGCAGCCCCTCCCTCTCACCCTCTCACCCTCTCACCCTCTCACCCTCGTTCCCTCGTTCCCTCGTTCCCTTGTTTCTTCTTGCGCACTGCCTTGGGTTGCTCTCATAGCAGCGGTAGGAGCTGCAGCTTTCGCCGCTCAACTCGCAGCTGGTGATGCAGGAGGTGTGCGAACGACGTCGCCGAGAGATCCGAGCGAAGCGACTGGCCATGGGGCTACCGGAAGAGATTCCTGACTTCATCCCTTCTCGTCGAACCTCTCAGCCTTCTCGAGCGGGGGAGGAGGAGAGCACTTGGTCGGGAGGGGGAGGGGGAGGGGGAGGGGGAGGGGCAGGCGGGGAAGGAAGAGGTGCTGGTGGTGGAGGAGGAGGCGAGGTGATGTACATCCGCTGTCCCGACGGCTCTCTGTTTCGAACTAAGAAGGAAGAGACGCCTCGCGGTCAGCTTCTCTTTCCCTCTCTCCTCCTCTCACAGCCTGGCAGCAAGTGGCGAGGAGGAGCTTCAGCCTCGTGAGGTGCTGCTGGCCGTTCGCACCTGCTGCTTCAACTTCTTCGAGGCATCGATCAAGCTTTCGAGGTCTGCTGCTGCTGCTGCTGCTGCTGCTGCTGTTTAATTGACGAGGAGCAGACAAGGTCGGATGGTGGAGGAAGCTGCTGTACGCAGAGCTTTCGTGAGGATCGCTAGGAGAAAGGGAGAGTTGTTTCCAGTGTGAGGGAGAACAAGCAGGAGAACAAGAGTATCATCAACTATAATGAGGAGAACAAACAAACAACTATCATACATCTATCTACATGACAGCTCCTCCTACACCCGACGGATTCGCGGGTCAAAAACAGCCTCTATCAGCACTGGCTTCCTCCCTGCTCAAGCGTCAGCTCTCAAGCGTCCGCTTGATCTTTGACTCACCATCCATGATGGAGCGGAGGAGGAGCTTGTTGGTGAACGAAGTTCCGTCTTTGCATAGCGCGTGAACATCCAAAGACAAGCTCGCATCCTGCAGGAGACTCAGTCAGTCTTGACCGTCAGCACAGCAGCGTCTCACCTTGTCCTCTTCTCTGCTCAGCTTGCTCATGCACTCGACGAGGGGCGGCCAGTCAAGAGCCCGTTGGAACATGGAGATGCTTCGCCCTCGAACCTCCTCGCTCTTGAAGCCGATCAGCTGCTCTAGCTCGGCGTTCACCTCGAGGATCAGCCAGGGCTCATTCACGGAGCAGATTGCACGAGCGCGTGGCTTCACAGGCTCAACTTTCTTCTGCACCCCCTCCCCGTCGCAGGCCGCATCCTTCACATTCTCGGGAGCCTCGTCCTCCTGCATCTCTGCCACCTCCTGCAGTTGCCGCCACCAGTGCTGCCAGTGGCGTCTCGAGTCCTCGTTCTGAGTCCACCATCCCTCCCAGCTCACCTCCACCTTGGCCGTGCGTTTGAGAACTTCAGCCACCTTGAGCTCGATCGTGACCACCCCCCGTCCTCCCACAGCCAGCGCCTCACCACTCCTCGCTCCTGCAGCTTCCACAGACATCGTGACTGGATGACCTGCGAGATGTCGCTCATGGCAGGCAGCAGCACGAGCTGGTCGTATCCTGCGGTGTCGTCGGGCTTGCTGGCGTTGTCGAGGAGGGCGTCCAGCTGCTCTGCCTCCTCAGCTCCAGGCGTCATCTCAGCTAGCAGCCTCATGTACTCGATGGCATCCAGCCCAGCAATGATGGATCTCTCCTGCGACTGACTGAGCTCCTCCGCCACCTCGAGGATCTCGGGGTCTCGGATGTTGTCTTCGCTGTTCGACGACAGCACCTTCATCATCATGTCCGACACGTCGTCCACGCACAGGATGCTTCCTCGCAGCTCGTGCGTCTTGTGGTAGATCTGGACAGGCTCAAGCCGCACCTGCATCCAGAACAAGCTGCGATCCTCTCGGTACCCGCGGATGCAAGCGGAGCTGGAGGCCTGCTCGCGGATGCACTGGGAGATCTCAGCCACGTCATCCTCGTCACTTTCAGGGCCGCAGAGGAAGCTGATCCAAGGGCAGCCTATCACTTCCTCCTTCTCGTAGCCTGAGATGTCCAGGAACACGTCGTTGCACCACACGATGGCCCCGTCCTCGTTGCATAGGCAGAACCCGGAGGTGATCGTGTCTTCCTCCATGATGGCCCGGTCGAAGTCGGCGATTACCTCCTCTGTGAAGATCGGGATCTCGTCCTGGACCAGAGGCTGCAGGGGCAGCGAGGACTCCCTGCTCTTTGTCTTCTCGCTCTCATCCCATTCTGAGTGCCCGAAGCCGTCATCGTCGTCGACTTCTTCCTCGATGTCAACGTTGGAGGTGACCATGTCCAGGAGTTGGTTCAGCTCCTTCTTTTCCCCCATGAGGTCATTCACGGTATTCTGCAAGAAGTCGATCACTTCAAACTTGTCGTTGAGCGTGTTTTCCAAGCATTTCAACGCAGCAGCGTTCACCGCTCTCTCCACGTCCACGTCTCGTCTCAGCGAGTCGAGCTCTGTCGATTTCCTCAGGTTCTCCTGCTGCAGTCGCTTCACCTCTATCTGATGTTGCGATCGCAATGCTGCATACGCAGCTTGTGACGCCGCTAGCGCACTCGCTTGCTGCACCAAAAGGCGCTGGAAATTGTCTGCGTCGATCTCTGCTCGGAGAGATTTCTGCTCTGCAGCTTTCACGGCCTTGTCCTTCTCCAGCAGCAGGTCTTGCAGCTCGTAGATGCGGTCACGCAGAGCCTGCACGTCTTCGACTTCAGCCACCTCCTTCCTCACGTCGTCGCTCTGGGCATCGCTACTGCTGTTGCTCACCAGGTCCAGGAACCCGAAATCTGTCCCTGGCTCATCCTTGATCAGCGTCGCGAAGCGAGAGGACATGCCGTCCAGCCCATCCTTGTCGCGGGTGAGTCCGAGCAGCTGCCGGAAGCTGCCGGCCATGGTTTTATTGGAGCTGCTGCTCCCGATGACGTCCACGCACATGGCTGAGCCGGCCTTGACGAGGGAGGGGTGCTTCGAGACGGCAGCCACGTCAATGTAGAAGTCAATGCTGTCAGTGTCCCACATCCACGAGAGGATCCAGCCTCCTTCCTTGAGCGACCACAACGACTCAATGCATGACACTCGATCGATGCCGGCAGGGACCAGCAGAGAGATGCGCTGGATCTGCACGTCATCGAACCGAACCCTCTTGGCTCGCTTCCCAACCTCTCGGTTCTTGAATCTGTCAAGAATCTTCCCGAGGCCTTCGATGGCCTCGTCCTGCAGGATCGAGAGCTCCTGGGCCATGAAGTACGTGTACGAGTCGTTCTCCTCTGTGATGGGCTCCAGGATGTTTCTCGTCGCTGAGACAATTTCGCTGCTGTCTTCGGCACTCACACAGAAGCATTCCAGAACGGTTTCCCGGCACTCTAGCGGATAGAACCCAGCGACGATGCTGGCCCAGAACGTCGACTTCTTTCCAGTCTTGAACTCCAGGCAAGAAACCGCTCGCTGCGTGGCCTTGCCCTTGTGCAGCAGACTTTGAAATCGCTTGAATTCAGCTGCATCCACGTTGGGGCTCACCAGGTCGAAGAAGGATTTCCCCACTATCTGAGCCTTTCGCTGGTTCAGCAGACGCAGAAACGACTGGTTTGCAAACAGGATGTTCCCATTCTTATGCAGCAGGCACAGCGAGCCCTCGATGCCGCAGAGCTCGAGCTCCTTGTCCAGCTGAGACAGCACAGGGAACGCCGCACTCTCCTGCCAGTGACGGTAGCTCTCGTGTTTGCTCTTCAGCTGCTTCGACTCACTTCGGCCTGTTGCCTCCCTCGCCTTATTCCCTTCCTTCTCTCCTGACTGGCCATTCTGCGGCTTCCCTCCTCCCACCTGTTCTGCGGCTACCTGGAAGTGCTCCTCCTTCTGCTTCCGTGAAGCTTCGCTAACCACCCAGAGCATCCTGTTCCACCACGCATGCCAAGTCCTCAGATCTGCCGTCCAGATGCGACACCACGCGGAGTTCTGCGTGTACTTGAGCACTCGGCCTGTGTCAACATTCACGCGCAGGGCGTCTCCGTCCCACTTCCAGCTCTTGACAATCGCTGCATCTCGGAGATGACCGAGGTAGTCGATACAGTGCTCCAAGGTTGGGTCTGCCTTGGGGTACAGCACAAGCTGGGTGTACCCGTTGATGTGCGTGATGTGTCCGGTCGGGGTGATGGGATACTCCGCATTCTTCTGATCCACGGAGACGTTGAGCACGGTGCCCATGAATAGCATCATCTTGCCATCGTCTGATCGGACTGGAACGATCTCCAGGGACGTGGAGAGCGAACTTCCGTCCCGATGCAGGAAAGAGATCGTACAATTCTCGTCGCTCCCAGAGAGCGCGATGTCTGCGTTAGCCAAGTCAGGCGCATGCGCGACATGTCAGATGCGACATACCCAGCAGATTCTTCAGAGCCTGTTTGTCTCCGGTCGGGCCTTGGATCAGTTGCAAGTCACAGCCGATGACCTGCAGGCTCGTCAGGGATGGGCCAGCAGCTCGCAAGCCGCATCTGTCTCCTACCTCACGATGGCTCACGCCATAGATGGAGCACCACGAGCTGTTTGCGTAGAGGATCTGAAAAGGTTCCCGTGCCATGGCGACAAACTTTGCCTTGCTGTCTGCCTTGATCTGACCGACGACAGTGGAGAGCTTGACCTCGTGCACTTTCTCAAAGTCCAACTGCACGTGAGTCATCTGCAGCTTGGAGTCGAGCACAGGGAAGGCCTTCAGCCTCATGAAGATCTGCAAGCACATAGATGAGAACAAATCAGGCAAATGAGACTCAGTGTTTGCGTACCGGCATGCCATCTCTTCCATACAAGGTAGATCGCACGCCCTTGGCTTCCGTCAAGCCTCGTCCGACAGATTCGCACAGGTCCTTGAGGAAGAGCAGGTCTGCCTCTGAGCCGAGGATCGCGTTTCTTTCATCCTCGCTCATCCCATCCGCATCTAAGTTGAGGATGCTGCACAAGTTGTGCGAGATATGAGAGATCTTCTTGGTTTCGTTGGAGAGCAGCACTGTCAGCCCATCTTCTAGTTTGTGTATTGCTGCCTTCAGATCCACCACCTTGCAGCTGCTGGCCATGGCAACGAATTGGTCCAGCCCTCCCGACTCGCTCAAATAGGCATGCAGCGAAAGTGCGTGATCAGTCGCTCTCCCCGCACATTGTAAGTGAGGAAGGACGTGTCACATTCGATGCCCCTCTCCGAGTCCTCCATGAGCTTCTTGTAAGCTTTTAGGTCTGTTCCCGGCCCTTGTATGACTTTCAAGCTGCGGCCGATCACTTCTGCATTCCTCATGCCGAACATGTCAAACCACTGATCACTCACAGCATCGATGTGATGGTGAGGCTTCGACTGCAGCAGCACCCACACCCCCTTGCTTCTATCCAGATCTTCCACCTTGTGCACGCATCGAGCCGGAGACAGCTCACATAGGAGCATCTTCAAGTCCTTCTCTCCGCATGGGATGGCAGTGACTTCAAGTCGCATCAACACCTCGTTAGATTGAGCCAGACAGCAGACCAGCTGACACTCTCGAGAGCCTTTCCCTTGTGCTGCATCGCACATCACAGATTCGTAAACATTCACTTTCGTGTTGGGGCCATGAAGGGCTTTCAGGCTGCTGCCCTTCATAAATTCTGCATTAAATCCTGTCAATCGAGAGAATTCTTCATTCACGCCCAAGATGGTGAACGGATGGTTAGCTACTGTTACAGCCCTGGCACCCAACATTTTCTTTGAAGACGTCTTGCTTTCCTGATGGCTGTTCAAGAAACTTTGAATCTTCGTTAAGTCAAACGATGTCATTTCGGGAGATTCAAGGTCATCGTCCAAGCGGACGCAAACTTCCTCTGAGGCCTCGCACATGTTAGTTGAGCGATATAGTGAGTTCTGAGTGAACTTCAAGAGTTTTTGACTGCAATCTTGGAATTTGAATAAACTATCAGCCTAACATTCCCGTTTGTCTTCTGGAAAGCAGGAGTTCAGATTGGAATCGACGAACCAGAACTCTGACAATATCAGGCAGCAGCAAGTTGTTCGAGATGGAACGACGAGCGGGAACAGAATTAAAAGCAGAGGGATGGGGAAAACAACGAAAAAAATATGTGAGAGCGAGGAGAAAAAGAGGGAGGAAGAGGAATAGGCTTGCGAGGAAGATTCAGGAGAGAAAAGAATGAGAGTCTGTAAGGTTGCAGTACTACCAGATGAAAAAAAACAAAAAAAAGACAACACAGGATGCAAACACAGGGAACGAAAGGGGGTGGGATGCGCTAGGGGTTGCAACAGGGTGGGTGGAGTAGTCTGAGGGGTAGGAACCCCGGGGTTTGTGCTGGGTGGGGTAATTGGATCAGGGCTATGGAGTGGAAAAATAGGGGTAGTTTGATATAGAGATACAGGGGTACTTCAAACAAGGATGAATATTTGAACCGGTCACCACATCTCAGGGGTGATGACGGGGACTCATGAAGGGGTGGTAAAAGGTCTTCAAAGATAGGGTAGGGGTAGTGTGGATGGGGTAGAATCTCATGCAATCTCCTCTTCTCGGGCCGGAAGGAAGGACATAAGGAGATGCACCCCTTCCTTAGACTCGAAAAGATGGGGTACAAGATCTGAGGGGGTGGGGATTATGGAATGGCGGCCGCCAAGACTAGTTTACTACAGATGGAGATCACAACAGTTGGAAGAGGCGGGACGAAAAGAGGTGATCTGAGAAGAATCTGACTCGATCACAGGAGAATCTGACCCGGAAAAATATTCATTTAAAAATGATATAGCAACCAGGTCGCGTGGCTTCAATCTCGAGGAATCACGAAGGGGAGATTATGAGGAGATCCAGGGGGTTTTAAAAGTGCCTCCCCTAAAACTAATTTACAAGATCGTGCGAGATCCCACGACCATTTTGAATAAAGAAATTTTCGGTCCCACACCCCACGAAAGCGATTTAGATTTTCGGTACATAGCAGGGGTGATGTGACCTCTTAAATCTACATGTAAAAGGTTTCTTCAGCCATGAATGGGGTACGGTACCTTTTGGCGGGAGTTTCTGGGGGATGATATCAGTTAAATAGGGGGTAGGGGTGTTCTTGAGGGGTAGAGGGTGTGAATCTAAACGTCGTGGTTTGAATTGGTCATCAATGGTTGTTATAAGAAGCTATTAGGGGGTAGGGGGTATAGGGTATGACCCCTACCTGGATCTAGTCTTCGTTTGTTTGAAGATGGGTGGGGTGGCACATGAAAATAGTGGGTTCCGAGAAAGATACAGACGACCCCTCCGTACATGCAGACTCAGTTCAGGGAGATGGGGGGTAGGGGCGTGAAAGGTCTTGGGGTGGGATCTAAAAAGAGACGAAGGGGGGGTCGGATGAGATACCGACATAAATAAACACAGTACGGGTACTTTAAGGGAGGAAAGAGGGGGTGGTGACGGGGGTCATAGTGCTATCGCCGTGATCGACCTCAGGTCTATGTCAGGACGATCATCCGATGTTTTACTCAAAGCCGATGGTTAGGTCGGTCAGCGAGGGGACGAGGTCCTTGCCGCCAGCACAGACCAGGCCCCGGGTCGGGCCCCGGGTCGCTGCCCGGGTCGGGCCCCGGCAGGGCTCAGGGTCATAGTGGAGATGTGGTCTCAAAAGCTCAACGATGCCTGCTGCGGTCATGGAGGAGGGAGGGAAGGAAGAGGAGGAGTAAGAGCGAAGGCAGCATGCATGGCGCATCCAGCTGACAGGACAAGGAGCAAAGGAAGCGCGAGGAGCAGAGCAGAAACAACATGGCGTGAGAGAACAGGGCTTGATAGAGAAAGAGGGAGAAATTAACTGCTTTGAGGTGGTGAAGCACAAGAATCCTAGCCCATCGACTCGTAGACGCCCGAGTTCTCGTGAAGGAGAAGCAAAGGGGAAGTACAAAAGCGATGAGGGAAGGAGGGTCAAGCAGCTGACGGAGCATCTGACTAGAACTGGAGGAGCAGAGGGTGGCAGAAGCATACCAAGAAGATGATGGCACCATTAGCGCTATCAACATTTTCCAGGCTGCTCTGCGCTCCCGGAAACTGACAACTCTTCATGCAGATGAAAGCGCATCTTCCGTGTGATGAGGAGGACCTTGAGAGGCCGAGGCAGCGATCGACAGGTCATACGCGTCAGAGCAGTGAAGCAGGTCGGCATCATCTGAGTAGAGCGGTGTTGTTGGATGTTTCCTTCCTCCGTCAGATCATTAGGCACTGGCCGTCAGATTCGGTAGTCTGCTGTCTCCGTGTCTGCCGTCTCTTCTTGCAGGAGCTTGTGAAGGCTCCCCGCGTGCTGTTGCAGCCCATGTCGAGCCCGGGGCTGGAGGTCAGGGCTCCCAGCCTCAAGTTTCTGCGGCAGTTCACAGGGGAGATAGAGCTCAAGTCCATCTGGAGCCAGAAGGAAGGCCTTGCCATGATCGAGTGGGTTCAGACGGCCGTGGGAGGGGGTTGGAAGGGGCCGACTGCCTTTCGGATGAACAGCAACACCCTGTGCGAGGCTGGAGCTGCGCGGCTTGCAAACGTACTGCCTCTCTGCACGCTAGTGAAGGAGCTAGATGTGGGAGACAACTTCTTCGGGCCGGCCGGGGCTGGTCTGCTGTCTAAAGCTCTTCCCTTGTGCCCCATCCTGACGCACCTGATGATGCGGCAGGACGAGATCGGGCCGCAGGGCGTGCAGTACCTCGTTGACGTGCTCCCTCTCTGTGCCGTGCTGGAGCATCTCGACTTGAACAGCAACTGCATCGAAGACCATGGCGTCGCTCTGCTCGCATCTTGCCTCGACCGATGTGCTTCCCTCGCCCACCTGGACCTCAGCAACAACTCCATCGAGAACGTGGGAGCCGCTTGGCTGTCGGGCGCTCTCAGCAGATGCCCGTCCCTCAAGATGCTGGTCTTGCGGGGAAACGGGATGGGACGAGAAGGAGCCGCGAGCCTGTCGCAGGCGTTTGTGCATTGCAAGTCGTTGGAGCACGTGGATCTTGGTTTCAACGACATCGGGGATGAGGGTTTGCTTGCTGTTTGCAAGGCGGCGGTGATGGGCAGCTGTCTGAGAGAGCTCAACCTTGAGAGCAACAGCCTCACACACGTTGGCGCCTCGAGCCTCGCCAACACGGTAGCCTGCGTCGAGAGGATCCGAAACGTGAACCTGCGGGGAAACTCGATAGGGAACGGGGGAGTCAGCGGGCTGGTGCAGGCCCTGATGACGAGGACGGAGAAGTTCGTTTGCGACGCTCGAGAGAACGGGATCACAGACGACTGCAGCATCATCATCCAAGGGATCCTCAAGCACAAGCCTCAGGTGAGGCTCAGCTTGGATCCCTTGCTCGATACCGCCGGCAGCGCCGAGATGAAATCTTGCTCTCTCGCCGATGGACCGGCGGGAATGAGTCTATTGCGAGGCAACGCCGTGTCAGGCGAGGAGGCGCATGCAGTGCCAGACGTGCGACTTTTATGGAGTAGCAACGGATTCACATCGGGGCCAGGCAGCATGGAGGGCAGGAGCGAGCCGTCAGCTCAGAGCTCAGCTGCTGCTGCTGCTCCTCCCATCTCTCACCATGTCGTTGCTGGAGACCTGCCATTCTCCCAGAGCCACGGGGAACTGCTCATGTCCTGTCAAGGCTCTTCCTCCTTCCCCGCCTGTGCCATGACACCTCCTGCTCCGCTGCTTCCACAGGGTATTGGTCTGCTGCCGCTCGGAGTCGGAGTGGTCCCAGGGTTTCTGATGCAGCAGGGTAACGCGTTGGCGTTGGCTCAGATGGTTGCGAGCACGCAGGCAGGCGCGTCCATACCAGGGAGCAACGAGTCTTGCTCCGGGCCCGTCAACGAAGCGAGCAGAGGCCACTGGCAGGATCGATGAGAAGAAGCGTAGGAGGAGGAAGCAGAGGCTGAGCTCTTCTTCCCTCGTGTTCTTCTTTTAAGAAAGTTGCGCCCTGCTCCCCATCTCGCATCGATTCCCCTGGTTATCTCCTCACGAGCTCCGCAATTCCTCTCGCGATCTCCACGAGGACATCGAAGCATCGCTGGAGGATGGTGAGCAAAGCATCATCATCATCATCATCATCATCATCATCATCATCATCATCATCATCATCATCATTAGCTGCAGCAGCAGCAGGTGTACCTGGCACATAAACACCCACGGGATGATGCCAATCGCCCCCTCCTCGTGAGCAGGGAAGCTGAAGATCCCTGAGGAAGCGCGTCAGAGGAGGAGGAGGGTGACGCTCAAATAGACCAGCGAAGGGCCACAGCATGTCCTTAGGCAGTCTGCATCCACTCGTAAGCGTTCCCCTCCCTCCCTTCCCACTACTCGCCCCGCTCTCCCCCCATTCTTCTCTCCCCCTCATCCTCCCCCCTCCTTGCTCTTCCTCTCTCCGTCTCACTTGTGCATAGGGGTAGCCCAGAACATGATGACCAGCACAGCTGGGATGATGACCTGAGAGGAGCGAGTGAGTGAGACTGACAGGGCGAGGACTGAAGGACCTCCAGCAGAGAATGCACAAAGTTTCTGTTGTGCGAATTGCTCACGCTTCTTAAACTTTCCTGAATTCCGAGTGACGAAGAGGAGGACGAGAAGAAGAAGGAGGCGGGGAAGGGAGGAACCTTCAATTCCTTGAGTCTCATTTCCATCTGATCAATCTGTCGCTTCATCTTTGAGGCCTTGACCTGCAGTAGCCGAGTGAAGAAAGTGGCAGAGGGGATGGAAGGAGAAAGGGATAGAAGGAGAAGGGGATAGAAGGAGAAAGGGATAGAAGGAGAAGGGGATAGAAGGAGAAAGGGATGGAAGGAGAAGGGGATAGAAGGAGAAGGGGATAGAAGGAGAAGGGGATAGAAGGAGAAGGGGATAGAAGGAGAAGGGGATAGAAGGAGAAGGGGATGGAAGGAGAAGGGGAAGGAGAAGGGGATGGAAGGAGAAGGGATCGGAGCAGAAAAGGGACGATAGAGGCTCACGAAGTTATCTGGAGTATCCAATGCCTTGTGCTGCTGTTTCATGCTCTTAATTTCTTCCTGTTCACATCTCAGAGTAAACACGGGAGCAGTGAGAGTGCTGACCGACAGCTCGACGGCTTCGTCCACCTTTGCAGTCTTCAGGCTCGGCCATATCGCCTCCAGCACCGCAACTGCCCCCTTCGACCCCACAACCAGCGCCATGGCGATCGCCGCCATGGCGACCATGGCGAGATGACTAAAACATTTCAGTCAAAAGATGCGAAAATGAAGGACGGTGAGGAAGAGGAAGTTTTAAACGAACCGCCCCCGCCGCCGATCATGCTCCAGCTCCTGCTCCAGCTCCTGCTCCTGCTCCAGCTCCTGCTCCTGCTCCTGCTCCAGCTCCAGCTCCTGCTCCTGCTCCTGCTCCTGCTCATGCTCCAGCTCCTGCTCCTGCTCCTGCTCCTGCTCCTGCTCCTGCTCCAGCTCCTGCTCCAGCTCCTGCTCCAGCTCCTGCTCCAGCTCCTGCTCCAGCTCCCGCTCCTGCTCCAGCTCCTGCTCCAGCTCCTGCTCCTGCTCCAGCTCCAGCTCCTGCTCCAGCTCCTGCTCCTGCTCCTGCTCCTGTTCCTGCTCCTGCTCCTGCTCCTGCTCCTGCTGCTGCTGCTGCTGCTGCTGCTGCTCCAGCTCCAGCTCCAGCTCCTGCTCCTGCTCCTGCTCCTGCTCCTGCTCCAGCTCCTAATCCTGCTCCTACTGCTGCTGCTGCTGCTGCTCCAGCTCCTGCTCCTGCTCCTGCTCCAGCTCCAGCTCCAGCTCCAGCTCCTGCTCCTGCTCCTGCTCCTGCTCCAGCTCCAGCTCCTGCTCCAGCTCCAGCTCCTGCTGCTGCTCCTGCTCCTGCTCCAGCTCCAGCTCCAGCTCCTAATCCTGCTTCTGAACATTCCTCCCCCCTTCGTCCTCCTGGTCTCGAACAAGATCGTTATCGCGATGATCTCCTTTTGCTCACAGTAGCTCGAGCATCACAATACGACATCCTTCTCCTCGTCCCTCTCTCTTGCTGCTGCTTTTCAATCATCATGCGTCCTCTGCTTCCTCCCCGACTTCTGACTTGCGCGAGTTTAGATTCCCTTCCTCCCATCTTTCCGCGACCTGCAAATCCCGAGGACCTTGTGGCAGCAGCACCTGCCCACAGAGCAGGTGCACGAGGAGGAAGATGGAGGGTGGGCGGGAAGGAGGAGGGAGCTGAGGTCTGGACAGAGTTCGACTATGTCGACGATATAGCAGAGGAGCCGCGAGTGAACGAGCTCGTGGGGGCTCCAGGTTCTGAGCTACCTCCCCGTTGTCGCCTCACTTGCTGCAAGAATTCCTGGGATACCATCGCCTGAGCACGCGCAGCCCGGAGGAGAGCCGCTGTGTGGTGAGCGATGGTGAGGGAGAGGCGCAGGCTGAGGTTGGAGCAAGGTCGACAACCAGCTCGAGCTGCGGCTGGAGAAGGTGGAGGAAGGAGAGCACCCGAGATACGCGCTCTTCTCCGAGCTTACCAAGTTTGCTCCCTCATCCCCGTAGCATCTGGTGAGGTTGCTGCAGTCAACAGGATAGACAAGCCCACATGACATGGGTGCCCTCCATGAAGGATGGAGCTGGAGACGTCAAGCTGGTCCGTTAATTCCCTGCTCCTTCCGTGTGATCATCAGCTCCTGCTCCTTTCGCATCGTCATAGCCCGTCTCCTCCTCAACCTCCTCCTCAACCTCCTCCTCAGTCACTCATTGTCTAATCTTATTGAAGTCTCTTCGTTGTCATCACATCGGTCCGTTCCGTCTTCGACTCCTCAGGTCGGTCATCTGCTCCTTCTTCCTTCTTTCATCTCCTCATCTGCTCCTTCTTGTTTCATCTCCTCACAGGCACAAACTCATTCCCATCGCTGCTGGCGCGCAAGATCGCGTGTCTTGGTCGGAGGATCTCGAAGAGAGAAACTTCATGGTTTAAATCTCCTATGCTCATACTCCACCTCTTGTTCTCCCCAGGCTCCCTCCCTCCCTGCCCCCCCCCCTATCTCACTTTGGCATTCATTGGTTAATGTGCTGCAGGCGGTCGCCGTAGCTGTCGACAGGCCGCATGCTCCCCAGCAGTGGCTATCGGTTCCCTCAAGGTGAAGCCACGTTGCTCCTTCCTGCGCCTTTCACGCCTGCAGCAGGAGGGCGACAGTCCTTCCCGCCATGGAGGTCGGCGAGCACGTCGAGCTCTGGCTGAGCACGAGAAACGTCGCGCGAGAGGTGAGGGGAGGAAGCTGGTGCCCCTCACTTATCCTCGCTCAGCGTCTCGTCATCGGAGCAGACGCTTCGGATCAGGTCGCCTCCTCCTCTCTTCGGCTCTTCTCCCCTCATCTCGTTCTGCCCCAGCTGGACGTGACCCTCAGACACGAGCTTCTCTCCTCCTCCTCCTCCTCCTCCTGCACCTCCTCGCTCCCTGCCAGCTCATCACCAGCGGCATGGAATCATGAGGTGCCTGCTTGTGACGTGCGGGCGGGTGGTGAGTGGACGGCAGGTGGCGATCGGAGAGGAGGAGGAGCAGTGGTACTGGTCCGCAGCCCTCGACATTCTTCGGCTCGGTGACCTCCTCGTGCTCCACGTGTCCTCCCTGCCTCAACGCTCCGTCAGGGGCCATTGAACGACACGCCTCCCTCCCTCTCAACTGGGCCAGGAAACGGGTGAACTCCAACCTGCCTGCTTCGCCCCATCCCTCCCGCTCCTCCGCTCCTCCGCTCCTCCCCCCCTTCACGCCTCCTGCCCTCACACATCCCATCTCCTGCAGAGCTGGGGAGGAGCTCTTCGTCCAGAGGCTCACACCAAGACGAGGAGAGGACGAGCCATCGCGGTCGGAGACTACCAGGTCCGTCTGAGTTGGGAGGAGGGGAGGGGATGCGAGGCATATGAACGTCCGGGACGGGCAGGTGGAAGTGAAGGAGCGGCTGGCGACTCTCTCGACTCTGGGGGTTCTCTTTCGTTTGGAGCACGAGGGCTCCTCGACTCAGCCAGAGGAGGAGGAGGAGGATGAGAGAAATTTCAATGCACGGGAGCGATCCATCTCCTCTAGCTACCCCATCCTCGACCTCAACGTTCTCCTACGCATCTCCCGCCGCAAGCTTGAGGTCTGCATGCTGCTTGCCGACGTCTCGTGAACTCGTCTTGCAGGAACAGGAGGAAGAGAATGCGTGGGATGAGCTTCTCGACAACTTGTAATGAGATGAGAGATCATGTATATTGATAAACAAGAGCAGGATAACATCTCTCTAGAGATGTTGAGAAAGCTTGCAAATAGCACGAGAAAAGAGCAAGACATCGGTAAAGATGAGGTAAAGATGAGGTAAAGATGAGAGGTACAACGGAAGGAGCGGAGGAAAGAAACAGGGGTCAAAGATAACATATATACTCTGTTCGCCCTCACTCTTATTTGCTCACCTTTGCACATACCTGTCACCTATAGGCGCTCTTACCTGAGAACGAGGAGGCTGGTTGTCTCTTGCTCAGCGCATGCGTGCAGCCTCAGGCTTACTTCGCCACTTTTCTTCCTGCCATCGCATCGGAGCCGCCAAGGGCTCGACAACGTGATGATTGGGTTACCAAAGGCCTCATCATCTACCAGCAGATCAGACACACGCCATCCGTCCTGCCCCTCCTCCCCTTCACACCCTGGAGCCCCCACCTTGCCTCAACTCCTCGCTCTGCCATCATTCTTCTAACTACTCGTCCCTGCCCCTGCCCCTGCCCCTGCCCCTGCCCCTGCCCCTGCCCCTGCCCCTGCCCCTGCCCCTGCCCCTGCCCCTGCCCCTGCCCCTGCCCCTGCCCCTGCCCCTGCCCCTGCCCCTGCTCCTGCTGCTCCTGATCCAGCTCCTGCTGCTGCTGCTGCTGCTGCTCCTGCCATTCTTACCGGCGGCATCGCATGCGCCGATCATGCCGTCACGTCTAACCTATAAGGGTGGGGTATTATAGGCCTAGATGGGAGGGGTACTTAGGAAGGGTAGGTAGTTGATGGAGGATTTGAGGGTGAGGGGTTCGGTTGGGGTTCACGTCAGTTACGAGTAGGTGGAGGTTCGATCAGGGGGTAGGGTCATAACCAGGTAAAATGAGGGTACTTAATTGATATAGAAGGGGTGGGGGTAGGGAGGTGTGTGGGTTTTTTATGCCTATGGGGTGCTAGATTGGTTGACAACGTTTGTACCAGGAAGGTATTGAGGAGGTGGGTCAATGGTAATGATGGGGTGGGGGTCCATGGTAAAGGGGTTGTGAACCATCTAAATATGTGGAGATAAACGGGTAGGGGTACTTACATGGCAGGGTAGGGGTATTGGAAGTTTCGCTGAGGAGGGTGGGGTGAAAAGGGAAATCGCTTTCATGGTGGCTCTCGGAGATCTGACGGCGCCCAAGCCGATAAGAATGGAGACGGTGAGAGGAGGAGGAGGAAGAAGAGGAGAAGGAGAAGATAGACGATCCAGCAGGCTGAGGAAAAGCAAGAGCAGATGGGAAAGAAAAGTAGGGTTAAGAACGGGATACGATGAGGCGGAATAAAGTAGATGGGGAGTAGGACGATAATGAAAGAGCAGGGGTTACAGGGCATAAGCTGATTCATCTCGAAGTAGAGATGTGAGCAATCCACAAGACGATTGAGCAGAGCATATCACTTGTTTCTTTCGTTTGCTGAACATGTCGAGCAGAGCTCTCTAGATTCGTTTCTCGAGATGTTGCTTCAGGCGTTGAAGCAGCAGGAGGCAGACATGGCAGACATGCGGACAACCAACAAGAAGCTTGCAGCTGAGGTCGACGAGCTCAAATCCCAAGTGAAAGCTTCAGGAGGAGGAGAAATGTTGAAGGAGCTCAAAGGCCTTAGCAGCCGCTTCAAGGTTTCTATCTCCTTCTTCCTGCTCCCCCCTCCCCTCCCCTCCCCTCCCCTCCCTCCCTCCCTCCCTCCCTCGCTCCTCGCTCGCTCTCCATCCTCCATGTCACTTCTGGTACCCGTCTGTCGCTTTTCGTCTCCTGTTGGTCTCGGCGCTGCTCACATTCTGACAGGACCTGGAGGCTCGGCTGGTGATTGTGGAGCAGGGGATGGAGAACAAGGCGGACGCTTCTCAGCTGCAGGAAGTGAAGGAGGCGGCGGAGCGTGCAGAGCGATCGCTGATGGAACTCTCCACTGAGTTCACGGGGTTCAAGAGCGATCTGATGAAGACCATCAAGGGATTGGAGGGACGAGTTTCTGCCTTACAGTCTCAGGTCAATCCTGATCCCTTCGCTTCTTCCTCAACCTCGTCCTTCCTGCTGCCTCCTCTTCGTTGCTCCTCTTCCTGACCTCTCCTTTTACTCCTCCTTGTCGTTCTTGCTTTTAGCTCAGTCCTTTCCTTTCCTCCATCGACATCTTGTCCTTTTCTTTGTGCTGCTCTCCTCCTCTCCCTCCTCCTACTCCTCTCCCTCCTCCTCCTCCGTCTCGTTGGTCCTTCTCCTCCCACCATGTGACAGGGTCCCAGGTGGCCGAACAGATCAATCATCTCGCAGACTCCAAGGCGAACAAGGCGGAGGTGACGGAGATGGGGAGGAGGACGGAGAGTCTGGGGAAGGTGTGCGACAGCAACACGGAGGCAGTGGAGGAGATGAAGAGGAGGATGGATGAGTTCCTGCAAGGCATCGACTCGAAGATCGAGATGAAGGCGGACAGAGACAGTCTCAACAACAAGATCACCCGCGTGGAAGTGGACGACCTTCTCTCCTCCCTCTCCTCCCTCTTCTCCGAGAAGCAGCGCAAGAACAGCAAGGATCTGCAGGACGTGCGCGACGACCTCGACGTTCTCCTCACCATGGTCATGCAAGACGCCAACGTGGCTGCTGGCATGCTCAAGTGCCTGTCCTGCGAGAAACCGGTCCTCCTTCACCGCCCGGGGCCTCCGCCGGGGAGCGGGAGGGAGCCAGTCATCACTCAGGGGACGGACGGCATGATGTACCGAGCGGCCAAGGAGGCGGAGTACAGCCCGCAGTGGACCTCGAGTGGGTTGGGGAGACGATCTGAGAGCCCAGTGAAGACGAGGATGGACAGCCCGCAGAAACCGTCGGGGAGGATAAGACCAGCGTCAGCCAAAGTCCGATCCTCCGTCTCTTAAAGCATGTCAACTCCTCCTCCTGCTCCTCCTGATCCTCCTGCTCGTCCTGCTCCTCCTCGCGTCTGTTCTCTCCTGCTCTTCCCGCTACTCATCAGGAGGGACTGCTCCTCCTTCTTCTACTCCCTCCTCCTGTTCCGGTCTGTCTTCGTTCGCGCTCATCGCCTCCTCCTGCTTCTCCCGGTGACTCCTTCTCTCCTTGAGCTTCTCGTCAGCATCGGCGAGGAGATGCGGCGAGAAGTTGTTCCCCTTCCAAGTCACCAGCCGTAGCGAGGAGGAGGAGGCGACTGCTCGCGCCACAGCAGCCGCCTGCTCCTCCTCCATGCAGTTGTAGGAGATGTCGACGCTCGTGAGGGTGGGGCACCGCAGCGCCTTCTCCAGCTCCTCTCCTCCTACGCTCCCGACTGAGTTCCAGCCCAGCAGGAGGGCCTGCAGGCTGCTGTTGCGAGCGATGCCCTCCACCAGGAGTCCAGCTGCCTCCCCTCGGTAACCGTTCCAGCTGAGGTCCAGCTCGACAAGGGCGGAGCTGATGCTGAGCATGGCAGCGAGGGCGCGGGCGCTTGCGGTCATGGGGGACGATGGAAGCTGCTTGCCTGCGTTGCCTGCCAGGTTGAGAGACCGGAGTTGCTGCCCAGCAGCGACTGCGTCTGCGATGCAAGCGAGGGAGGCGTCGCCGAGGCTGTTATTGGCGAGGGAGAGGGAGAGGAGGGAGGAGGAGGTGGGAGAGGAGGAGGGAAGGAGTAGGCGGCAGATGGAGGAAGCAGCAGAGGTGTCGGTGAACTTGGCGGAGGGAGCCGGCCAGGGCTGAAGCATTTTGAAGGGGCGGGAGAGCTGCGCGGGAATGATCACGTCCTCCATGAAGGAGAGGTCCTCCTACACGCGCATCAGTGAGGAGAGGAGAGAATAAGCGGAGGAAGACAGGAGGAGATGGAGAAGCAAGAAGAGGAAGAGGTGGAGAAGCAAGAGGAGGAGGAGGAGGAGGAGGAGGAGGAGGAGGAGAAAACCTTGTATTCTATCATCACATCTCCGATATTGTTCCCGTCCAACACCAGCTTTCTAATCGCGTTTCTGCTCTCCATGATCGCAGAGCACAGCAGTATCGTCCCCTTGGCTCGCAGATCGTTGTCCCCCAGGTCCAGGTCCACCAGCCAGCAGCAGGAGGCGATCGCTGCTGCTATGGACCGCACGCTCTTGGCGCTGGGATGTATCCTCCCGCGTACCCTCAGGCTCCCGTCCTCCGGATGCTCCAGGAAAGCGCTGCAGGGAGCCGTTCCCATGGACAAGCAGGTGCGCAGGTAGCTGCGGATACTCTCCTTCACCTCCCTCGTCGTCTTGCTCCCTCCCTCCTCCTCCTCCCTCCTTTCGCCCTCCTCCTCCAGCAGCCTCAGTCGCTCAGTCCAGTACCTGTGACTGTGTTATCATCCCCTTCCCACCCACACTCGCTTTACTCGATCCCCTCCTGCTCCTCCTGCTCCTCCTGCTCCTCCTGCTCCTCCTCTGCGTTCATTGCCTTTCTAGCTGAAGATGCAGCCGAAACGCCTGGCAAGATGAAAAGTATGAGGACGCATCAGCTTGGGAGCGGAGGCGAACCTCTAGAGCTCCACGCTTCGCCTCTACCTCCATCCCTTCCCGTGTCCCTGACTGTCTGCCAAGACCCCTGTCCGTTCTTGTCAGCTAGCAAGAGCAGCCAAAGCAGCAAGAGCAGCAAGAGCACAAAGAGGAGGAGGAGGAGGAGGAGGAGGATACCCTTCCGTTGGATCCCCAAAGATCCTTGATGTCCTCCTCTGGCGTTCTAACCCGCTCATTCTGCATGCTCCTCCTCATCCTGTCCACCAGATCTTTCTTCCTGCCGCTGGTGCTCAGACCTCTTTTTCGCAGCTCGATCTCAAGTTGGAAGATCGTCATGCTCCTCAGACTAGTCTCACTCTCCGGCTCCTCCTGCTCAAGTTGTCAAACTCCAAAGGAGACCGAAACAGTATCCTCTTTCCCCTCCCCCCTTTCCCCCCTCTCCTCCCCTTGCATCTCATTTCCTCGTCTCCCTGCTCTTTCCCTCCTCCTCCTCCCTCCTCTTCGACCCTCCCTCACGCCATGGGCACGGCAGCGCTCACAGCTGTGCTCTCCTGCTGGGCCGGCGAGCCATGGAGGGCCTTGAGGGAGAGCTCGAGCTTGTCTTGGTGGAAGTCGCTGAGGAAGTGCTGCTGCAAGATCTGCTCACGTCTCAGAGCCGGTCGAGCTCGCCGTCCTCCTCCACCTCCTCATTGATGAAGTTGCGGTCGCAAACTTTGCACACAGCGTGTCCGATGCCTCGAGGAGCGTAGTACCTTGCCTGAGGTCAGGAGAGGACAGCGAGTCAGCAGGAAGAGGAGAGATGGTACCTATCCCATTCAGCGTTCTCCCACACAGGCTTGGAAGGCATGTACTCCTCGAGCCTGTCCTTCCTCCTGCTCGTGAACGCGATGACCCTTTTCGTCGGCTGCCTTGTCGGCTTCGCGATGACCCGATGAGTGGGGGGATGCAACCAAGTCATCGTCAAGGGTACTGCAGGCTTGTCAGGAGGAGGAGGAGGAGGAGGAGGAAGGGGGGGAGGGGGAAGAGTGTGAGAGGGAGAAGGAAGCAGGTCGCTCACAGCAGTACTGATTGGGTGACACGTGCTGTCGGGGAGACACAGCCGAGGATGTGCCTGGCGAGCTCTGCAAGGTACATGAGAGAGAGGAGGGGAGAGGGGGAGGGAGGGAGGGAGGGAGGGGGAGAGAAATGAGACAGAGGAAGGAGGATGCCTGTCTCAGTATCATGCTTTCAATTGTTCTCGCCACCACCTGCTGAGCAAGTTCAAGTCAGCGCTGATCGAATGCCTTCTGGTCAATTCTGCTACCTTGGAGACTCGACGGCGCAGGGACGCTGGTACCATGGCATGGGAGAGCTGTCTCCGTATCTCATCCCTTTGAACTGGTAGCTCGTCTGCGCTCTTCTCATCTCCTAGCGCGCCTGCTTCCTCTTTCCCTCCCCCTAGCCCTCCTGAAAGCTTTCGGCTGAGCCCTGACAGTGTCTCGGGTACAGAGTCTCCCAGCCTGACGATGCGCCGGCCTTCCAGGTCATCTTCTTTCCTCCTCCCGTCCCTCCTCTTCTCTCTCTCTTCCCCCTTCCCTCTCTCCCTCCTCTCCCCCCTCCCTCCCTTCTCTCTCGCCCTCCTCTCCTCCTCCTCCCCCTTCATCCCGGCATGACGGCTTCAACTGCCAGTGCCATGACGCGAGTTTGACAACTGCTCGATGCCCCGCTTCCCCGCGCATGTCATATCATCCCCCTCATCCACTCACCCTCATCCCCGCTCAACCCTCGCTTACCTCGCTGACTCTGAGGCTGACTCGCCTGCTGACCAGCGGGGGGACTCAAGGCCAGGCGCAAAGATGGTGCTGGCATGGCAGCTCATGCGCGTGTCGCTCCTCCTCCCTCCTCCCAGCCCTCTCGCTCCGAGCAGCTTTCAGTCCTCCTTCCTCCTCCCTCCTCCTCTCAGCCTGCACCATCCTAGGCACTTCAAGGCTCCTGCCTCGCTTGCGTCCCGCTCGAAGGGCAGGTCGGGCAGGATCCTGGATCTGCGGCCACCTTGTGATGACTCTGATGCAGGCGCTCAGCCCCTGGTCTCACGGCCCTCAAGAGCAGCGGAGAAGCAACACCGCTGTCAGACATCGAGCCGTTCCACCTCTACAAAGAAGATGGTGATCAACCCCTGGACACGTGAGCAGGAGAAATGTGAGAGTGGCGTTAGGTTCGCTCCTTCCTCTCCCGGAGGGTTGGAAGAAGCAGGGATCGTACGCATGTTTCAACAAGTATGCCTCATGTGCTTGCCGTCCCAGGTCGTCTCTCACCTCCTTTGTTCTGATAGGAACGATGAGCTGCAGTATGTGGCAATGTCCCGACTGGTGCTGCGACGTGGGACAACCTTTCCTGTCATGCTCATTGAGATACAGGTGTACAACAGCATTCAGAATCATCTTCAGATGCTCTCCAGCTCAGAGTTCAGCTCTGTCAAGGTGGTCACCTGGTACGCGCTCGACAGCCTCCTCCGAGGAAGCTGACGGCGGCTGGTGACCAGGGACAACCCGACCAAGGAGGACATGGAGGGGGCAGCGACGAGCTGGATCTCAAGCCACATCGATGCTTACGGGGCAGCTCCGCCAGGGAACACGCGAGAGGTGAGGCAGGGGGGGAAGTGAGCGGGGGCTGACTCTCGCGTAAGGTTGAGATCTGGCGAAAGAAGGCGGCTGAGGTGCGAAGGCAGAAGCCCAACGTCGAGGTGAGGGAGAAGAGCCAGGCGGGAACGTTGCTGAGCGAGGCTGCAGTTTGAGGCTGGAAGCACGGAAGATCAGGCGCCAGCTCAGATCAGGAGCATAATCGATCGTTACCCGATCGTGTTGTTCATGAAGGGAACTAGACAGGTTCGAACGACTTGCCTTTCTGTCCCTGCAGCATCCGAACCTTATCATCTTGATTGTTACCATTATCATCATGCTCTGTTGTCCGTTGTCATTCCTTGCTCTGAGTTGCTCTCAACTCAAAGTCTCTTCTTCTCTCTCAAACTCAAAGTCTCTTCTTCTCTCTCCTTCCACTCGGCCTTCACAGCTCTAATCAACCACCAGGCCCCGCAGTGCGGCTTCTCCGACGCAACTGTCGCCCTCCTGGATCAGCTGCAGGTCGTCTCGTCGAGTTCGGATCGAGCTGGGCAATGACGTGTCAGGCAGGTGGACTACGAGTGTATCGACTGTCTGGATGAGGAACGGAACCCGGGCTTGAGGGAGGCGATCAAAGTCTTCTCGGAATGGCCGACGATTCCGCAGGTTGGAGGAGGAGGAGGAGGAGGAGGAGGAGGAGGAGGAGGAGGAGGAGGAAGCGCGGAGAGGAGCTGAGCAGCTGAGTACACTTCAGCTGTACGTTGGATCGGAGTTCATCGGAGGAGCAGACATTTGCCGCGACATGGCGGAGGCAGGAGAGCTGCAGGACGTGATCGAGAAGGAGCTGCAGGCCCGGCGCATGCGCTCCAAGTCGTTCGTCACTCGCTCGCCCGAAGACATCTGGGATCTGATGACAAAGTCGCCCGACGTCACGTTGTCTTTCCTCCCCCCCTTCCTCTGCATCTTACTCGAGCTCAGGTTCGTTGACTGCCGCACGGAGCAGGAGTACGACAATGGCCGAGTCAAGGCAGGTTGACGCCATCGAGTCCCGTTGCTGAATGTGAGAGCAGGGAGCTGTAAACGTCCCTGCCTTCCTCGATACCCCGCAGGGGCGGCTGCCTGTACGCGAGGACTTCCTCAAGAGGATGCTGGTAAGCCCAGCAGCTGCTCTCGCCCCTGCCGACCATGCTTGCAGCAAAAGTTTCCGGACAAGAACTCCAAGATCGTTGTGGGTTGCCAACGAGGGATTCGGAGCGCCGAAGCTGCTTCCTGGCTGTGCGAGGTTGGGTACACTAACATCGTCAACCAGGATGGAGGGTGCGAGGCAGCTCAGGCTCCCCGACTGATGCTGACGGCCTTGTGCAGGTTTTCCTACTGGGTCACGAAGAAAGATCTGCCAACGGAGGCGTGAGGAGAGAGGAGGAGGAGCTCCAGTGATCGTAGAAACGAAACGAAAAGAAAGTTGCTCTCGCTCCATATCGCCCTCATAGCACGTATGACTCGAGCAAGGAAGGGGAGAGCTGGACGAAGGGAAGGGTAGGAGGGCGGGGAAGGGGAGATAGGAAGAAGGGGGCGGGATGGTAAATGGTAAGAGGAAAGGGAGAGAAGGAGGGAGAGAGAGGAAGAGGGGGAGATAAATGTATGGGATGGGGATGAGAGTGGTAGAAGGAGCAGGAGGAAGATGGGGAGGGAGGGGGAGGGAGGGGGAGGGAGCGAGCAGGAGGTGTACGAGGGCAGAGGGGCAAGGACACAAAAGGGATGACCGAGGTGCGGAGGGGTTCGTGAGAGGGTCGATCGATGAGACGGGACATATAAAGAGTTTGTATTCTTTTTTTACTCCGTCCTCTTCGAAACTTTTTGCCCTCCCTTCTGCCGCACCCGCACCCGCTACATCCTCCTCCTCCTCTACCTCCTCCTCCACTTCCCTTCCCTTCTCCCCTTCCCCTTCTATCTCTCCGTCCCCTTACCCCCTCCCCTCCACACCTCCACCGCAGTCTCCCTCTGCCCCTCCCCCCCCCTTCCTCCATGCTACTACTCTTCCTCGCCTTCCTCGCACTTCCCTCCCATGCCGCTTGCTTCTCTCCTACTCTCCTCCTCCCCAGGTCATGTGCTTGCAGGTCCTCCTCCTCTCCTCTTGCCATGGCGTCCATGAGCGAGGCAGGCGGCAGCTTGAGGACGTTCTATGCAGGTAGAGGAGCGTCAGGGGAGGAGGGGCTGAGCGCCAGCTGCAGGAGACGTCTTGATGCAGTCAGGGAGGATGCTGGCTGGGGTCGAGCTGGTGTACGAGGTGCACGGGGAGATGAACGAGGACAAGTCCAACGTCATCCTTCACCCGACCTCCTTCGGCGCCTCCCACTCGGACTTGCGGTACAGGATCGGGGAGGGCGGAAAGTTCACCCTCGACACCAGCCAGCACTGCGTGATCGTATGCAACCTCCTCGGTAATGGTGTCTCCTCCTCTCCCTCCTCCTCCTCCTCCCTGCGACCGGCGCCGACCCTCGAGGTACCCGCGAGGAAGCGATCCGTTCGCTGACTTGGAACGAGGACTGGGCATGGCCGAGCATGTACGACAACGTGAAGTTGATGAGAAGGCTGATCAAGGAGGAGCTGAAACTGTCTTGTCCCCTCGCGATGATCTTCGGATACTCGATGGGAGCCATGGCGGCTCTCCACTTCGCTTCTCTCTTCCCCTCCGACGTTGAGCGAGTGGCGGCGGTGTGTGGGGTGGCCTGCACGTCAGACTACAACAAGGTGTTCCTGTCCTCCCTGCGGGAGGGTCTTTGTGCTGATGGAGCGTGGGATGAGGAGAAGAAGGTGAGGGAGGGAGAGGGAGGAGGAGGAGATTTCGATTCGCGAGGAGAGTCGGTAGAGTCGGGAGGAGTTGGGGAGAGACAAGGAGGTGAAGATTGTGAGGAAGACGAGGACGAGGACGAGGACGAGGACGAGGACGAGGACGAGGACGAGGAGGGGGGGTTGGGAGGGTGGATACAGTGGAGGAGGCTGACGTGTTTGGATAGATGTTCACTTGTAAGCCTGTACGAGGGCTGAGAGCCTTCGGTTCCATCTATGCAGGATGGGGACTGAGCCCAAGTTTCTACAGGTAAGAGGAGGGTGGGAAGGGGAAGGGACCGTGAAAGGAGGAGACGACGGAGTGGGAAGATGAGGAAGCTGGTAGGAACAAGGAGTTTGCGTCGCCGTCTGTCGGAGACTTCAGGAGCCTGGAGGACTTCGTTGAGAGGGTAAGAAGAGAAGTGCTGAGAAGGAGCAGGAGCAGGAGCAGGAGAGGTGGGGAGGAGCAGGAGCAGGAGCAGGAGCAGGAGCAGGAGCAGCAGCAGGAGCAGGAGCAGCAGCAGCAGCAGCAGCAGCAGCAGCAGCAGGAGCAGGAGCAGGAGAGGTGGGGAGGAGCAGGAGGATGAGGATGGAGCTGACGATTTTTGGAGGGATATGTTGAGGGTTTTCAAGGGTGCGAACCTCACGACCTGCTGGCCATGTTGCACACTTGGTACACGGGAGACATCGGAAACAATGACATGTTCCTAGGTACTGAGTAGATATGTTCCTCCGCTCCTCTCTCCTCGTTCCTTCCTACCTGTCTTCTCGTTCCCTCCTGCTTCCTTTCCTCCCTTCCCCTGCTCTCTCTTTCGCTCCCTCATCCTGTCTTGTTCTCGTTCTTAAATGTTCTCTTCCCCTTCCTCCTCCACTCTCCTGGTTGCCTTCTCGATCCCTTTCCGTGCTCCTTCTCCTCCTCTCCTCCATTCCTCTTTCTTTCACTTCTCGATTCCTCCTCTTCTCGTGCTTCCCCTTACTTCTCTTGGATGCTTAACTCTAACTTGATCTACAGGCGACAGGAGAAAAGCTTTTAAAGCGATTCAGGCACGCGTCTGCTACATGCCATGCGAAACTGACAGGTAGAGCGAGGGAGGGAGCGAGGGAGGGAGCGAGGAGCGAGGAAGAGCATGATGATGATGATGATGATGATGATGATGATGATGATGATGAGGAGGAGGAGGAGGAGGAGGAGGAGGAGGAGGGAAGGAAGATGATGGTGATGGCGAGGAAGAGGATGGGGGCATCTTAATGCGAGTGACTTCTATGGTTGCAGATATTTCACTGTCGAAGACGCCGCCCATGAGGTGAGAAACTAATCTGAGAGTGGAAGCTGAGAAAACTAGAAGCCCGAGAAAGAAGGAGTTGGAGAGAGTGGAGGACGAGGATATGGACGAGGACGAGGACGAGGACGAGGGAGAGGGAGAGGGAGAGGGAGAGGGAGAGGGAGAGGGAGAGGGAGAGGGAGAGGGAGAGGGAGAGGGAGAGGAGGAGGACGCTTGTGTAGGCTGACGTGGATCAAACTTTCAGGTCGAGCTCGTCGACAAGGCGGAGCTGAGGGTGATGCCATTCAGCTGGGGTCATCGAGGTGCCACTACGATCTCCTGCTCCTGCTCCTGCTCCTGCTCCTGCTCCTGCTCCTGCTCCTGCTCCTGCTCCTGCCCCTGCCCCTGCCCCTCCTGCCGACGCTTCACTTGCTGCTGCTGGGGCTGACCTTGAAGGCAGCTGGGGATCCTCATCGGCGGGGACAGGAGGAGCAGGACAAGTGGATCACCAAACAAGTGAAGGAAATGCTGGAGACGTGAGAGGGAGATAGGAGGAGGAGGAAAGGAGGAGGGGGAGGAGGAGGAGGGGGAGGAGCTCGAGGCGTTGAGGAGGGATGAGAAGGGGAGCGAAAGGGGCAGGACAGGAAGAAAAGGGAAGGGAGGACCGGTTACATTCCATGAAACATCGCGCTCTAATGTTCGGTCCCCGCCGTCTTTTATTTTGTCTTCCTGCTCCTCCTCACGCAGCACCGGAAGGCCCTCGTTCCCCACTCCGAGGAAGCAGACTGAAGGAGTCCAGTTAGGGAAGGACGAGGACGAGGACGAGGACGATGAGCAGCAGCAGCAGCAGCAGCAGCAGCAGCAGCAGCAGCAGCAGCAGGAAGCAGAAGGACATTTCACCTTGAGAGGAACTGGAAGTTGAGGAAGACATAACCCTTGCTTCCGCTGGGAGCACCTGATGACAACGATCAAACCCACCAATCCCCCATGCCCCTGCTCCTGCCCCTGCCCCTGCCCCATCCCATGCCCCTGCCCCTGCCCCTGCCCCTGCCCCTGCCCCTGCCCCTGCCCCTGCCCCTGCCCCTGCCCCAACTCCAGCTGCTCCTGCCCCTGCCCCTGCTGCTACAACTCCTACTGCTCCTGCTCTCGCTTCCCTGTTCCTCTTCTTCTTCTTACATGCAGAGTCTTTGAGGCCACCAGCTTCCTGCAAGACTATCACGAGTGCAAGCGAGGAGGGAGAGGAGGAGGAGGAGGACGAGAAGCAGCAGCAGCAGCAGCAGCAGGTAGCCATTCAAAGAACGGGAAGGACCTGAATGAGTTTGTTCGCATCCTTGAGCTTGTGGAAGGGAACGTACGGCCATGCTGAACAAACGTGATGAGTGAGGAAGAAAGAGAAGGAGGGAGGGAGGGAGGGAGGGAGGGAGGGAGGGAGGGAGGGAGGGAGGGAGGGAGGGAGAGGTTCTACCATGGTGCTCAAAGTGATAAGGCATTTGCCATGCCATCTTCCTGTAAAACCTGAGGGAGAAATTCAATCTTCTTTCTTCTTCTCCTCTCCCTCCTCCCTATCATTCCCTCTCTCGATCCGCTCCTACACCTCCCTATCCCATCCTTCCTCCTTCCTCGTCTCGCTCCTCCCTCCTCTCGCTCCTCCCTCCTCTCAGACCAGTTGGTGGACATGGTCCGAGTGTTCTCCAGTACGTTGGGGTTTTGGTGGCATCCTCTAGTGCGGACGTGAGATGAAGCGTAAGGAGGAGGAGGAGGGGGGAGGAGGATAGGAAGGAAGTGTAACGAAGAGGAGGAGGGTGGAGTAAGATAGGGAGGAAGTGAAGAGAGGAGGAGGAGGAGGAGGACAGGGGAGAGGAGGGAAAGGCACAGAGGAGCTTGCCTGTGTTCAGCAAAGAGGTAGAAGCGAAGAAAGGGCTGCATGGCTGTGAGGAGAGGGAAATGCGTCGGCGAGCCCAACCTGTCCGAGGAGAGAGGGAAGAACCCAGAAAGTGACGAGAGCTGGAGGAGAAGAGAAATATGAGCAGAGAGAAGGAGAGAAGATGTCGTAGGTGTAAGAGCAAGGAAAAAGGGAAGACGATCATGAGCAGGAGCAGGAGCAGGGGCAGGGGCAGGGGCAGGAGGAGGATGAGGAGGAGGAGGAGGAGGAGAAGCAGGAGGGGCAGGGGCAGGAAGGGAGATGGGAGGGTGACCTTGTCCGATAGCAGGGAACGAAAGCCCTACCGCCACCGCGAGCATGTAGAGGAGAAGGTAGACCCTCGCCTCGTTCGCTACCTGCTGGAGAGCTCTGGACAGGAGAGCTAAGACAGAGGGAGGAAGGAAGCGAAGATGACGGGAGGAGGAGGGAGAAAGAAGAGGGGGGAAGGGGGAGGGGGAAAGACAAGAGGAGGATAGGACGAGAGGAGGAGAGGACGAGAGGAGGATGAGAGGTGGGGAAAGGAGAAGGAGGAGGAGGAGGATTAGGGGAGGGAAGAGGAGGGGAAGGAGGGCGAAGCAGGGAAGGAGGAAGGGAGGACGGAGGAGAGGAGCTCACTTGGGGTTGGCGAGGTAGTGCTCGTGCGCCTGCTTCTTTCCCAGCGCATGCATGATGGTGGTGGAGGAAGCGTCGAACCAGAATGGAAGCCCGGAGATGTAGAGCACGTACCCGGGCCACTGAGGAGGAGGAGATCCTCAGAAGTGAACAAGAGGAGGATGAAGAGGGAGGGATGGCGACAGCAAGGGGGAGGAAGGAGAAGACAAAGAGAGGAGCAAGGAAGAGCGGGTGCAGAACAAAATGACAAGGCAAGGGGAGAGAAGGAGCAGGAGCAGGAGCAGGAGCAGGAGCAGGAGCAGGAGCAGGAGCAGGAGCAGGAGCAGGATAAGATCCGGATGCAGGGGGGGGGGGGGTTAAATACGAGAAGGAGGAAGAGGAAGAGGAAGAGAAGGACGACGAAGAGGAGGAAGAGGAGGAAGAGGAGGAAGAGGAGGAAGAGGAAGAAGAGGAGGCGTCTGTGCTTACTGTGGAAACATCCATATCAAGCGCTGACGGCTGTAGCTCGCTGTCTTTCTCCACGTTCCCTTCCTCATCAAGTCAGTCCCAGCTGACCTCCAGCACTTGGACCTGTGAACTTGTGGTGGGCCCAGTGGTAGTAGAAGTAGTGAAGTGCCTGAAGGAGAGTTAGGTGAAGAGAGAGGGAGAGGGAGAGGGAGAGGAGGGAGAGGGAGAGGGAGAGGGAGAGGGAGAGGGGGAGGGAGAGGGAGAGGGAGAGGGAGAGGGAGCGGGAGAGGGAGAGGGAGCGGGAGAGGGAGAGGGAGAGGGAGAGGGAGAGGGAGAGGGGAATCGAAGAGCGGGAGACAACGAATGGAAGGGAGTGAAAGAGAGGATGCAAGGAAGACAACGATGGGAGGAGAAGGTGCGGAGGAGGCTGAGGGATGGGAGTGAAGTGAGAAGGGAGCAGGTGACGCTCCGAACCGGTCGGAGGCAGAGAAAGCCCGCGATGTGCATGACGCAGTCGTTGAGGAGGCGGGAACGGAAGGCGGAACGATGGACGGTCTCTGCCGCAGGTTGAGCAGGAAACAAAGACAAAGCCTTGAGCCGTGAGACAGGGAGAGGGTTGAGCGCGAGCTTTCTGGAGGAAAAGAGGAGAAAGAGAGCAGGAGCAGGAGCAGGAGCAGGAGCGGGAGCGGGAGCGGGAGCGGGAGCAGGAGCAGGATCAGGAGCAGGAGCAGGAGCAGGAGCAGGAGCAGGAGCAGGAGGTGGTCAACCATGGAGAGCCATGAAGATGAATGAGCAAACGAACGCCATGCTCACTATCCCTATCAACTTGAGACTCGCCATGCCCAGCACGTCCCCTGCTGCCGTCACGCCCGCGCACACGGCGTAACATGCTACATGCCAGGCGACCTGACAAGATACTCATAAGAAGAAATGAGAGGAGGGAGGAGGGAGGAGGGAGGAGGGAGGAGGGAGGAGGGAAGAGGGAGGAGGCAAGAGGGAGGAGGCAGGAGGGGAAGGAAGAAGAAGAAGAAGGACCTGGAGGAGCCCTTGTCTGTCGGAGGTTTGCTTCACGAGCTCAGTGATCTTCGTTCTGCTGCAAAGTCAAGAGGATTCTCAACAGGAGAAGAGCAGCTCAACCTGGGAACCAGCTTGTCGAGAGTCTGGAGAGGAGCAGCGAACAACCCCAAGAGCGGCAAGGAAACACAATCATCAGGGGCTAGCGATGAAGGGGCAGAGGTAGGAGGGAAGGGAAGGGGAGGAAGGGGAGAGGAGAGAGAGGTGCAGCATCGTCATCACCTCGATGGAGTCGATGGGATTTGCATCTCCCTTGTCAAACTGAGATGAATCCAACGAGACTGACATCCTGGGGATACACCCCCGTCGGGCAGAACACATGCCTCCCCTCCATCGAGCAAGGTGAGTTGAGGGGAGCTTCCTCGTGGGGGTGGGAGAGTAGATGGGAGTGAAGCCGTGGCATGAGAGGGCGAGGAAAGAGACGAGAAAGGGTCTTGCCAGGACCATTCCTATGGATCACTGCAGGGAATTATGTTAGCTCACGAAGAACTCTGTGCTGAAAAGTGTCATGTGCATGAGAGCCATACTCTCAACTCTTGTCTTACTGCCTACGCTGACAATACCTGACTGTCTCTTCCTTCATCTCTCCCTTCCTCCTCCTCCTCCTCCTCCTCCTCCTCCCCCTCTACTCCTCCACCTCTTCCCCTTCCTTCCCCTTCCCTTTGCTCTGAGACTCGGACGCTGCTCTTCAAAAACGAGTCGTTTCGTTTCTTCTTAAAACATTAGTTTTAATTTGAGTTTCTGAAGAGTCACAAGATCCCGTCGGTTCAATCACACGATGTTTCACTGCGATCCACCACCACCTCGAATTCGACTACCCCTACCCCCTCTTATATAATTATATTACCCCTCCATTGATCTGATATTCTTCAACCCCTACCCCCCATTTTAGATGCCAGGAAAAGACACGAAATCGTAGCTGAAGCTCCGCCCCCGCCCCCTTGTTAAGGATCTGCACATGTCAGGCGAACATGCGGGCAGATGATCGCTGAATGACGCTGCTCCTGTCTGCCATGTCCCTTCCTCGACCTTCCATGGCCCATCTGTATGCCCGTCCATTGTTTCCTCCTAGGATCCCTTGCCGATCCTCACAGGGGTGCAGCTCAGAGACAGCAGCCCCTGTCCGGAGGCGATGCATTCAGTCAAGGTCTTTATCAACAACGGGAGGGAAGGAAAGCTTCGGGGACGCTGTCAAGAAGACGGGGGTACAATCTGTTCTCTTCTCATGGACCGACCTGTTTGGTGTGATGAGGAGCAAGCTTGTTCCGGTTTCCAAGGCCGACGCCATGAGCAAGTCTGGGGCAGGCTTCGCTGGGCATGCTGCCCATCTCGACTATCCTCCCTCGAGTGGTGACGTCCTGGCGATTCCTGACCCGAGCTCGCTCATCGTGCTGCCGTGGAACCACAAGATAGCGTGGGTCGCGTGCGATCTCTTCATGAAGGAGGAGCCGCTGGAACAATGTCCGAGACTGGCGCTAAAGAGATCGATGAAGAGGGTGAAGGAAGAGACGAAACTCACCATGAAGACCGGTGTGGAGCTCGAATTTCATCTGCTCTCCCCTGACGACCCGAGGAAGCTTGCGGATGCCTCGGACAGGAGCAAGAAGCCCTGCTACTCCATCGAGCCTCTCATGCAGCAGAAAGACTTCATCGTCGACATGCAGCAGTACATGGAGAGTCTCGGGTGGAATCCTTATCAGGCGGATCACGAGGACTCGATCGGGCAGTTTGAGATCAACTGGGAGTACGACGATGCCCTGGTAACGGCGGACAGGCACGCTTTCTTCAAGTGGATGGCAAAGGAGGTAGCGAAGAAGCACGGTATGAGGGTCACCTTCATGCCCAAGCCCTTCACGAACCTAACGGGCAACTCGGCTCACGTGCACATCACGATGCACGAGGAGGACGGGAGCAATGCCTTCAAAGCTCGAGGAAGCAACGGAGGTGTCCTGGGGCTCAGTGAGATTGGCCTGCACTTCTGCGGAGGTCTGCTTGAGACGGCTCAAGACATCTGCTGCTTCACCAACCCTACCATCAACTCCTTCAAGAGAATCAACGCTCCTCCTCCCTCCTCGGGCTCCTCCTGGTCTCCGAGCTCCATCTCCTGGACGGGCAACAACCGCACTCACATGATCCGAGTCCCCGACGCTCCCCGGCTCGAAGTTCGACTCCCAGACTCGAGCTCGAACCCCTACCTCATGCCAGCTGCCCTGCTGCTTGCTGGTCTGTGCTCTTTGTGCTTCTTTGTGGCTCGATGCTGACCCCCTCCCCCTCCCCCCTCCAGGTGCGCGGGGGATGCGACAAAGGATCGACCCAGGTCACCCAGCATGTCCAACGTGTACGACAATGTGCAAGAGCAGAAGAAGATGCGGCAGCTCCCGTTGAACCTGCTGGATGCACTGAGGTGTTTTGAATCGATTTCTGACAAAACTTGATCGTCCTTGGACTCATGACGTTGATTTCGAAGGAACTTGGAACAGAACGAGACTTTGCAATCGGATATGGGAAAGGAACTTTGCCGAGGGTACATCAAGCTGAGGATGGAGCAGGTGATGCCTTCTCTTCTTCCCTGTCTCGTTCCTCGCTCCTCTTTCCTCGCCATGACGTCTGCTCGTCAGTGGCAGGAGTACTCGCGCTCCATGACGGCATGGGAGCTTGAAAATACCATGGACGTCTAGACAGATAGTTTACTCAATGTCAATTTGAAAATAAAATTTGGAAATTTTGGGTTTTGATTTAATATTTGAAACCTTGGTATCGTTGTTGAAGGTGTATATTTGAAAATAATGATGAAAATAATGTTGAAATTCTGAGAGTAATGTTCAAATATTGCAAGAAAAAAATCCAATTTGGTTTCTGACGAATATCCTTTTCCTCCTGTCATCATGGTGATGATGCAATCATGGCGAACCTCCTCCTCCTCCCCCTGATCCTGCTTCTCCTCTGCTTCTCCTCTGCTGCCTCCTCTGCTGCCTCCTCTGCTGCCTCCTTTGCTTCCTCCTCTGCTTCCTCCTCTGCTCCCCTTCCTGGCACAATATTCCATATACACCTCGTCGAAACTTCTTGATTCACCACTCTCGCTCTCCTCCTCTCTCGTCTTCAACGAGCACCATACTTTCGCTGCTGCTCCTCCCTCCCTCTGCATCCGACTCTCCTCTCTGACTGTGAGTCAGGATGTTGCGGTAACAGCACGCTGGGAGGATCTGCTCTTGTGACCTTGGGGGATGGCAAGGCTACGGCCCTTTCCTCCCTCGCATGGCGCGTGGCTGCTTGCTGGAGCATGCATACTCATAGCCGCTACCTGCTCCGGGGTGCCGCTCGGGAGTGAGGGAGAGGTGGTGCAGCAGTACCACAAGAACCTGGAGCTGCTGCGAACGCACAAGGCGCTGTTTCCATTGGAGGAGGAGGACGGAGACATGCTAGACGTCTTCGAGGATCGGATGGACCAGGCGCCGACGCGCAACGACGGGGAGAGGAGGGGAGAGGAGAGCAGCGGCAAGACTTCTATCTGGTGGGTTAGTGTGAATACCATACTGATGGCGATAGCAAGTGGCTTCGGTGAGACTTCATTTCTGCTATCATCCCCTCCCCTCCTCCTTCCTCCCTCCTCCCCTATTCTCCATCCCACTCCTTCCCTCCCCCTCCTCCCTCCTTTCTTACCCGTCCAAGTCTCGTCTTCTTCATCGGCTCTAGAGGTTCACTTCCCTCCAGGCGCACTTCCCTTCTTCTTCGTTCGCTCCATCGATCGTCGATGGCTTGGTAATTCACCTTCCCTCCCCTCCCCTCCCCTTCCCTCCCCTTCCCTTCCCTTCCTCCCTCCCCTCCCCTTCCCTCCCTCCCCTTCTCTCTCCTTCTCTCCCCTCTCCTTGCTCCTCCCCCTCCTCTGCTTCTCCTTGTCCTTTCTTTCCTCTTCTCCTTCTCTGGCTTCTCATTCTTCTCACCTAAAGGAATCGCCAACGCACTTGCGTCCGGAGTGATGCTGGCAGCAAGGTGACCTCTCCTCCTCCTGTTTCAGAGATCCTTCCTTTCTTTCTTCCTCGCTCCTCTCTCCTCCTCTTTCAACCTCTCTTCCTACTACTACTGATCCTCTTCCTCTCTCCTCCTCTCCCCTGCTCCGGCTCATGAGCATGCAGCTTTGGGCTGATCTACGAGGGTCTGGATGGATCGCATGCGGCAAGCAATCTCCCGCGACTGATCGTCGGCCTCCTCCTCGGACTAATCTTTATCGTCGCTTCTCAGAAAGGTTTCTACTCCCTCCCTCCCCTCCCTCCCCTCCCTCCCCTCCCTCCCTCCCTTCCTTCCTTTCTCTGTTGCCCATCATCCTCCTTGCCTGATGAAGCGGCAGCGGTGGACGGGCACGAGATCTCTATGGGTCAACTTCAAGGGATGGACGCGAAGAAAGCGATGATGGTGAGGAAGAGAAGCGAAGAGGACGAGGAGGATCAAAGGAAGAGGCAACACAGAAGAGGCAGGCAGGCAGGCAAGGAAGGGAGGAAGAACGAAGAGAGAGGAGGAGGAAACGAGGACAGGGAGGATGAGCGAGGAGGGCATGACAGGGGAGCAGGTGATGGGGATCATGACACTTCATTCCTTCTCGGAGGGTTTGGGGGTTGGCGTGAGCTACGGGGGGAGTAATGGGAGCCGTCAGGTACTTGCTGATGTATCATCATCACCACCACATATCATCATCATCATCATCATCATCATCATCATCATCATCATCAACATCATCATCATCATCATTCTCCAATGCTCCCATTTCGTTCCTCTTCATTCTTCCCCTTCTTCTAGCTCCTGATTCGCTCCTCTCTCTCTTCGTCAGGGTATGGTGACCACGTGGGCGATCGCGCTGCACAACATCCCCGAAGGCCTTGCGGTGAGGGAGCGAGGATGAGCCATGGAAGCAGGAGGAGGAGGGATTGGCAACCGGGGTTCGCTCAATTTGAGCAGCAGCAGCAGCAGCAGCAGCAGCAGCAGCAGCAGCAGCAGCAGCAGCAGCAGCAGCAGCAGCAGCAGCAGCAGCAGGATTTGACACGTCTGATGCAGGTGGCTCTGGTGGCAATTCCAAGGGGGGAAAGCAAGTGGCGGGCAGCAGCATGGGCAGGTAGGGGGAGAGAGGGAGGAGGCTGGGGCTCAAGAGGAATGGGAGGGAGGGAGGGAGGAGGACGGGGAAGGGGAGGAGGAGTACTGACAGCATCGTAGTCTTCTCGAGTTTGCCTCAGCCCATTGTAGCAATTCCGGCTTACATGTTCGTGGAGTGGTTCTCCTTCGTCCTCCCTGTTGGACTTGGTACCTCCTCCTCCTCCACC